ACCGGAAGAGATGGGCCTTGGACAGAGAAGGATGGCAAAATATTGTTGGAGAGGCCAAAGTTCACCTTGGACTATAGAGACGGAGAAAAAGAAGAAGAAATAAAATGGTGAACGACTTAGTGGTCACTTAATTAAAAATAGGGCGAGGCCTGGTGGTTAAGATAGCGACGAGGTCAGAAAAGCCAGCGTGCCGTGGTTCAAATTCAGTAGCTCCATCATTAAATCAATCCAATTAATGTTTATAAATTAAATATAGATCATATAAATAACTAATTAAAATAAAGCAATTTATATTCATTGAAGTAATTAATTTATCACTACTCATTCATTTCAAATAAGTCACTACACCTTTGCACTCCCGTGACAGTAGCTCGACTTGCCAAACGCCAAACCCAGTTACACAAGTGGGAGCTGTAGACATAAAGTAGACAGCTACTGCACCTGTGCACTCGCAGCAGTTCTTCGTAAATCTTGTGCTGTGTTCTTGTGCAATGTTTTTGCTAAGTGCAAGTCTGATCACAGTTCATTGTGTTATAAAAACGATTTCTAAAATACTTTGTAATGAAATACTTCCAGCTGAATTATTATTATTAATTTGCTCTACAGTCCTTAATGGACCTGGGCGTTAGAAACAAGCTTTCGCCAGGCATCCATATCGGCAGCGGCAGCTATTCTTCTCCATCTTCTGATACCCAGGCGGCTGAGGTCCTCCTCCACGTCGTTGATTCGCCGCAGCCGGGGTCTTCCCCTAAGACGTGCTCTTCCTGGGCTGTTATAGAGAAGTTTTCTAGGAAACCTATTCTCCTCCATTCTCTCTACATGGCCTAGCCATCTGAGCCGGATCCTATTGACAGTGGCTACAATATCATAATTTTTAACCAAAACATAGAGCTCGTCATTTTTCCGTATTCGCCACTGATCATTTATTTTCTTCGGACCGTATATTTTCCTTGGGACTTTTCTCTCCCATATCCCCCAGAGCAACCCCTCACTTTCCTGTGTCAGAACCCACGTTTCACACCCGTAGGCTCAAGTAACCTTATAATGGCTTTATAAATTGTTACTTTTGTAGTCCAGCTCAGTTCCTTGGATTTCAGTATTTTTGCCAGGAAAAAAAACATTTATTGCCAGCTGTAATTCTGGCCTTTATTTCGGCGTGCATTTCGTTCTGATCAGAGTTATTACTACTCAGAGGTATTTGAATTCTGTTCCCATTGGAAAGAGGTGTTGATTAATTTGAACATATTCATGCATAACTACATTGTTCCTTGAGGACTTCATGTAAAGACTTTTTCCTTTGTTAATCTTCAGGCCAAGTTGCATTGCTATCGCATCGAATTCTTCGATGGATCCCGCAACGGCCGACAATGTGCGAGCGCTGATAAGAATATCGTCCGCGTATGCAAGACATTGAGTAAGTCGATTGAATATAGTCCCTCCAGGATTGGTCTTTATTGCTCTAACAGCCGGCTACAGGGCTAGATTAAAGAGGACTGGTGATATAGGATCTCCCTGCTTCAAGCCCTGTTTTACCCGTATGCTGTTTGAGAGGACGTTTTGAATCTTGACCTTAAATTTGGTATCTCTTAGCGCCATCTCTGTCAAGGCAATCAATTTTTCAAGAATTCCCAGCATCCCCATAGCTTTCTATCAATAGAATCATACGCCTGCTTGAAATCTATAAAGGCATGGTGCAGATCCACGTTATGCTCCTATGTCTTCTCTAGCATTTGTCTTACAGCAAAGATGTGATCCACTGTTGACCTATTTTTTCTGAAACCACATTTTGATAGTCTCCGCAGATTCTTTCTCCCCATGACGCTATTCTCTTACTAATAGCAATGGAAAGGACTTTATATACAGTTGGCAGTAGTGCTATTCCTCTGTAGTTATCGCAGTTCAACTTGTCCCCCTTTTTAAAAATAGGTCATAGAACTGCAGTGTTCCATTCTTCAGGCATGGTTTCCTGCATCCAAATCATATATATGAGGTCGTAGAAATGCTTAGTTAGTTCTTCTCCTGCATTCGTTAGTAGCTCTGCTGGTATTTCATCCACACCCGGTGATTTGTTGTTTTTTAAAGACATAATTATTTCCTCTATTTTTTCAACTTCTTCTTCACATATGTTTTCTCTATTTCTATGCATTTCCTCTTCATTGCTCAGTTCTATGTTTCCTTGATTTAATAATTCGGAAAAGTATTCCGTCCATCAATTTAATATGTCTTTTCTCGATACCAGCAAGTTTCCTTTTTTATCTTTACAATAGTCTAGATGCGGTTTGAAACCGGTCCTTGCATTTCTTACTCCTTTGTAAAATTTCCTAGTTTCTTTGGCCGCATACTGCTCTTGCATATCTTTTATGATTTTGCTTTCCCAAACTCTCTTTTTCTTTCGACAAATTTCTTTGACTCTTTTTCTTTGTATTATATAATTTTCCATTGTCGCTCTAGTTGTCCTCTTCAAATATTTGGCTCTCGCGTCATTCCTCTGTCCACTTGCTTGTAAACATTCTTCATCAAACCATTCGTTTCTTTCTTTCCTCTGTTTATATCCTAGCACTTCCACAGCAACCTCATTCAACATCGTCCTTATTCTCCGCCATCGCTCTTCAACTGTATGTTCATCTACATTGCTTTCATTTAATCTTTGAGTGACCTTTCTTTCAAATGCCTCTTTCATTCTCTCGTTCTTTAGGCCATCCACGTTCAACACTCTTCTGGTCTCTCCTCTGTTTTTGCACTCGTTAGATATCCTCTGTTTGTATTTAGTTCCTACCAAGAAATGATTCGTGTTACAGTCCGCCCCTCTAAAACTACGGACGTCTAATATATGTGATTTGTGTCTTTCATCTATTAAGACATGATCGATTTAATTTCTAGTGTTCCCATTTGGCGACATCCAAGTTTCTTTGTGGGTCTCTTTATGTGGAAAACATGTACTACTTATTCTAAGTCCCCTATCTGTTGCAAAATCAATCAGTCTGATTCCATTTTCGCTTGTTATATCATGCTTGCTATATTTTCCAATAGTAGGAATAAAAGCACTTTCCTTTCCAATTTTGGCATTGAAATCACCCAGTAAATTTTTTGCATCATACTTGGATAGGTCATCATATGCTGCTTCTAGTGCTCCATAAAACAAATCTTTTTCTTCTTCATCTTTATCTTCTGTCGGAGCGTGTGCGCTCATCAGGGATATATTATTGAATTTTCCTCTTATCCTAATGCAACATATTCGTTCATTGATGTTCTTAATATTCATTAGGGCATGCTTAATTGAGTTTTTGATAATAAAACCCGTCCCCGGCAAGTTATTTCTCCCTGTGGTACCGCTATGAATCATTGTGTATTCCTTCAGGCTGACTATTTCTTTGTCTTACCATCTAATCTCTTTTAAAGCCACAATGTCCATCTTATACCCTTGCAGCTCTCTCTCCAACACTTTACTAGCCCCAGGTTGGTACAAACTTCTTACATTCCAAGTTGCCAGCTTTGATAGTCCTTTTCCACGCCATTGTCGTGACCGTAGTTCCATCCGGATATTTTCCTGTTCCTGTTTCATAACAATGTTTTTTTACCAGTATAGGGTTGTTAGCCCTATGACCACCCCCAGACTTGGAGGAACAGGATTTTCTGTAGGAGTTGACTCCCTCAGTCTTTGAACATCGTTCTATCCCGCAAGGCAGCGGTGGAGAGGTATGGATGGGTAAAGGAGGAAGGATAGCATAGGTAATTGGTCAATGATAGAAGGGAGTAGATAATAATGTCAACGGACAGTTGCCCCTTTAGTCGCCTTCTACGACAAGCGGTTAAACACTATGGGCCTATTCTATTATCCCCGAACCCACAGGTAGAACTGCGAGCTGAAACTGCTGGCAAAAAATAAGAAGAAAAACAGAACGATTTGGGTCAGGAAATGAATGCAAAGAAATGGTGAACCGGATACAATATTTAAAGAAATATATAATGAAGATTCCCGAGAACATAAAGCAGTGATGTGAGTGGTCTGCACTCCATCCATACGCCGTTTTTTACTTTCCTACCTATACTAGGTAAGGAAAGTATTGCGATCGGGTCAAATTTGCGGTTTTTGACGGATCTACACATTTCAGAGCTCCCCAACACATTTTCAGCCATTGGTTTGTTTCGTCTATCTGTCTATGCCAAGATTATCTCGAGAACTAGTGGACCGATTTTATTGTTTCTTTTTTATTTTGTAGTATTATGACTACTGATGTCTGTGACACAAATTGGATGCTCCCTGCGCAATAAGTGAAAAATATACTTTTCTCTAGACTCTAACGATTATGATGAAACTTTCCTATAATTTTCTAATTGATGTCCAAACATATGTTTGGAATCCTTTGCATCCAATTCCTGACCCAAATTTGCATTTTTGTTTTTGTCCTGTTTTTTCAATACATTCAGCTCGAAGTATTTCAGCACAAATAATTTTTGATATCGTTTTTATAACATTATGAACTGTGATCAGATGTGTACTTTGTGCCCATGCTGCATAAGAACACAGCACATTTGCGAAGAACTGATGCGAATACACAGTTTTAGTAGCTGCCTCCTTTCATTCCTGCAGCACGCCCTTGTGTGACCGGACGTCCTATGAGGATCATTACCAAATAAAGGCACGAAGAGAGGTTTGGTTAGCCAGGATTGCACTTGTGCTCCTATATGATACCTAGATGGCCTTTTAACAGTTTTATTTTATTTTTTAACTTCTAAATTACCATCAAAATAAAGTATAGATAGCATAAATACTTTCTCATACAACTTTTTAACGTACATACTAAGCTCGAATTTTATATACGCGGAACGCGTAGTTCTAGTTTGCTCTGCAACTTATGTTGACCACACTTAGATAATCTTTTTTATTCTGAAAATACAGCATTACGCATAACACTTTCTATCCACCGAATTTCTGGTATTTTACTAGATAGGGTAAGAGATTAGAATGATTCCGTTAACAAATATTTGAAATGACCCACCTCTCGCCTTCTAGATTTTTCTTCAGATAATTTCGAAAGGTATATTAATTTTCTTCGTTGAACTTATTCATAAAAACACAAAAATTATAATTCAAACATATGAGAAAAATATAAAAATAAAGTCCATTAAAATAGCCAAATCGTGCAGTATGATAATTTTAACTTAGTAAATATTTTTTCACATATTTACTTATTTAATAACTTCTTTAAATTAAGTTGAGATGGTTGTTCTGAGATTCTATAGTTTTTTGGTTTAATTAAAAAAAAACGGCTACTTACGATTATAATAAGTATTAAATAAAGATGGTAGAAAATTTCGATTCAGGCTTTTTGTTAAGGCTGATTTTAATACATTATGTTAATTTCTTTTTTGTTCTGTTTCTTCTTCTACAAATTCTTAATTCTAGATTCAAAATTATTTTGGAAACAGGATTTGATGTTTTCCATGGAAACACTTAAATATTTTTTTCATTAAAAGTAGTAGCACCCGCATTAAACCTTAACCTAATTAAGAACTATTTATTTAACTAAAAAAATCTAGTGTGATGCGCGCATAATATAACTTTCACTTACCAACCTACTTTGAGTAAAACTAGATCTTTTCATCATTTGATGTTTTAGCCTCAAAACATCTAAATCATTAGCGCCCGATTAAAAAAAAAAATAATACTTCTAATAAAATATTAAGCTGATAGGTACTGAAAGTAAAAATGTAAACATATTTTTTCTGGTCTGATCTATTAAATTTATGCGTTTTTCGTCATTAACCATTTTCTTTTACGATTGTATTTTTAGTTATTTATTTAATTATAATAAATAATTAAGTGCAACGATTAGTTCGACAAGAGTGTCAGCAAGAAGGTCAGATATTAATTTATCATTCATTGTGGAATTTTTTTGTTTATATTTCTGTAATCTATACAAGTAAATATCAATTAATACTACTAATTAAATATTAACTAATAGCATTTATGAAAACCGTACACGTATAAGTAAATAATTTAATCGGAACCAGATCGTTCACCAAGCTTGATAATGTTTTCGGGTTTCTTCGTCAGTGTTTGGTTCCACATTACCACTCTATTACCAGGAACCGACGCGAGTCTCGGACCCTCGATACCATCTCTTATTTCTTCTTTAGTTGATGATTAATGTTTTAAATGTTTACATTTAACCATTTTTATTCAATGTCTACGATTTGAAAAAGTAAATTTCTTTAAACAAAAAAAATTAAAGGTACTTTAGAGGAAGAAATTTTGAAAAATCTACATTTTCGGTCTGTTGGAAAACAATGAGGTTAAAACCAACCTTTTATTTAAAAATACTTAATTTTACATTTTCATAACGAATTTAATCTAAATCGTTAGAGCGATTTTTGCAAAAAGCCAAAAATGTCTTAAATTGATAGTATAAACCGCCACTTCCGGTTTGGCGATTTTAATGAAAAAGTTACTGTAACATCCCAGGCATACACAGACCTTAAATACGCACCTTCAGTTTCGCACGATATAGAGTGAATCAGTGAATGTACATCTGTATATTTATCCTATATATGATTATGGATTGTACTACTTTAATTATTTAACTCTGATTTTTCCATTGTAAAGTTTACGAAATGGATTCACGATATTTTTGTTTCCTATATAACTAAAAAGTTTTCACTAATTCAAATTATTCACTAATTTAATTTTCTAAAACATACATGATGAGCTTTCGTAATAAACCAACGATTGATAAATAAATATTTAAATATAATATCGGACCCAGAGTTATTAAACCACAGTCAATGTATTTAAGGTTATAAACATATGAGTGATTTCATACAAACAGGGACATCTGTAATTTTTAAATAGTCAAGAATAAGCCTATTTTCGAAACATAGATTCAATTTAAATCCATCCACACACACACAGACACAGGCAGAGACACGATCACAAAATGATCTGTGTGTATTTCCTATATAATACACACAGATCATTTTGTGAGACTTGTTTTTTTTTTCCTTGTTCTTCCCTATCTCGCCTTTTAGGCTACGAGATTTTCCCGAGCCGGAGAGTGATGGTAGGGAATTTAAAATCCCCTCCCGGCACCGGGACGCGAACTCGTACTTTTTTAATCTCATAACTTCGGTTATCTGGTTTCCGGGAATCTCGCGGTGCTGTGAACACGCGTTAGACCATTCGGCCACTCCTCATTCCATTTTTGTGGGATTTGGACTCAGGGAACCTCAAAACCTGTTTCCGTTTAAAATTCAGATTCGAAAATTTTCACGATCGTAATACTTTCCCATTTCTTTTGAAATGAGCATATGGGCTGAAAGCCCTCTCCTTCTCTCTCCCGTGCATTTGTCACAGGAAGTACTAGAAAAGGAGTAGTGAAGATGAAGCATTAGCTGCCCAGAACTCAAGTTCCTGTATATCGGGGCTGTGTGTGGACTATACAATCACCTACTCTTACACGAAGTAGCTAATAAGGAACACTTATTAGCTAAACAGGTCACTTATTGGACAGGAGTAACATGACCAGACATCTCACTGTCAGAGGGACAGTCCCACTTTTAGGAAAGGTGTCCCGGTGTTTCCTGGATTTCCCGTGGGATCCGCGAATATTCCTATTTGGATGAACTTGTCCCATGATTTACCACTTTATCATTTCTTAACAATCATTAGTAAAATCTATTTAATATGACAACTCAATACAAAGTTCAATTTAGAAAATTATTTGCGAAATTTACGATAGTATTGGTAAATATTTAACATTTTAGAAAACGGGCAAGTATTTTTAACATTTTTTAGACAATTTGAATGCATTTCGTATGATTAACCATAAAGTGCATTCTTTATTATCAAAGCAAAGCAGATCACTGAATGATCATTTTTCTACTCCCTCCCCTCTCTATCTTCTCTGCACAGGTTGTCCCACTTCAGAGCAATAAATATCTGGTCACTTTAGATATGACTAACTTCAGCAGCATCTATTGGAATAGTGGAAAACTAAATATTCTTTACGCCATGGAGAGAAGATAACAAGTGACAATTGACGCGTTTTCTGCTATAGATACTATAAGACGTGACCTCTTCGACACTGAGAAAATAAAATTTTTACTGCGCTGCAAGGAACATAAGACGGCTCTGATGAATTCACCCTTATGTGATTTTAAAAAATCTAGTCCTAACAGGACATTAACATGGGTTACGTGCAACTTTTAGCACTATTAAATTCCAAATTTCCTTGCCAATATGATTTGTTGTTTAATGCTCGTTAGAAATTCATTCGTTAAATTATAAGCTTTACTGGATGGACCATGTTAGGAAGTTGGACCTTAGTGACTAACGATCATAAAAAAACACATAAAATCAAAATAGATATTTGTTTATTTCGAAAAAAAAATCTTTTCAATGAATGAAAAACAAATACAAGAAATCTCGGTAATTATTACAAATTAAAACAGATTGGTGCCATGGACCATGCTAAGGCCTTTTATTCAATGAATTCTTAAAATTGATGCATGATAGTAAAATTCTTAATGTTGCAAACAGTGAAACCAATGATAGCCTATCTAAAGAAGTAGCTACCGTATTAGAATTCTAGTAATTTGATAATATCCGTGTTATTTGATTGACTTCAGATTTGAAACATATGTGCTCGTGCTCAATATATTTTTAGCACTATAATAATCATAACCTAAAATCTGTTTTCAAATAGCATAATAACAAAAAAAATGTATTTAATTTGAATCGCTCAACATTGAACCAAACAGCTTATTTCTGGTGAAAATGGATGACTCAGGTGGGTTGATTTGTAAATGATTCATTTTAATTCACTAGATTAAATATTTATTATTATAAATTTTAACTTAGATACTATAAAACTTTTTGATAATTATTCTTAAACGAATCTCTAAGACAGTATATTCATATAGATGGCTTTTTCAGTTCATGAAACGCTGTATAATTTAGTCAAAATAGATTTGAAAAAAAAAAATCTTATAATTATATATATTTTTTATCTGAATATATTTTTGAGTTTGACAGACTGAACCGATCTGAATCTTGGAATCCTATCTAGCCTGCGTTTTCCAGAAAACGTGTAAAAATTGCGCTTGTTTGGTTCCAACATAGAATATTGAATCTACGACGAAACAACTTCTATAATAAATTAAAGCTAAGGAAAAAAGTTCACGTATTTGGTGCTTACACATGTTATCGTCTGTTGCACGATTTAGGCTTTAGAGTGCGTTGTAATATCGTTTGTTATGTTGAATCGCTTAATTTTGTGACTGTTTTTTATTAACTTATAATTTTTAATACAGTTTCTAATAGATTTATAGTTCATGAGATATTTTAATCCATATCTTCAATAAAACTCGTTATCAGTTGGTTTTCGACACTAGTTTTCCCTTTTTTTTAGCTTCTCTAACAGGGCGTCGCGTTAAGATACAATTTTATTTGATAACTCATTACAAAGAGGATGAAATGCTGAACATTTCCCTTGCTTACAGTATGCAGGTCCGATTTCTAGTGTCTGATATATATTAATCCATATGTTGACCCAAATTCGTTCCCATTTTCCCTTTATAGCCCTCACAGCGCACAGAGGTTGGGTATCGTTTTGTTTTTCGAAAAAAAACTATTGCACCACTGATCTGTAAGTCACAGAAAAATAGTTTTTATACCATCATAATCACAACTAAATTTTCTATAAAATATCTACAGTAGAACCCCGTTAAACCGACTCACCGTATAAACCGGGGATAAAAAAGATAAATTAATTTTTTTTCTCAGTATAAGACAGCTTCAGCTAAATTATTTAAACAAATGAGATCATTGTTTTTATTACAACCAATCTTGAACTGTGCACTTATGGTAAGGGAATTAACGAGGTAGCAAACAAATAAAGGAAAAATTAACAGGGTAACATATAGTGAAACTCTTGTTATAGTGTGAAAGCAGGGGGATTATGTATTTTATGTTTTTCAATAGCCTAGCCAAGATCAAATAACGCTTAAATTACAGACGCAGGTGGACGCAGCTGGAATCTGTTTTAATATATTTTTAGGATTCTAGTCTCAATAAATAAATAGATGTTAGACCTGCGGTCGGCTGCGATAATAAGGTCTGGACCAACAAAATATTTATTTCTATTTCTTTCAGTACTTTTTCATAATAATATTGTGGACTTGAAAATACGGATAAGTAATTTATTTTTTCACACAATGTATCGTTTGGAATAGCTGTTCATGATTATAAAAAGAAATCGTACCAAACATGCAAAATGTCAATGAAAATAATAATAATAATGTCGTACAATTTTCGTTGTAATTCAAACATCCCATGGTCGGATTTGGAAGGCTCGTAAAGTTAAAAATCAATATTTCACTGTGTATAGTGGGGTTATTTTGTTGTAGGCGACGATAGAATGCTTTGGCTTTCATGCTGTGCATATATTTCTCTCAGTCCTCAAAGTAACTTTTTGGACGTCATTGTTATATCGCTTATACTTTCATTAAGGGACAAGAACTTGGAACATTGATCCGAAGCGGAGAGCCAAATCCGATGTTGAACCTAGTTCGGAAGATTTCACGGAAAAATACTTCGTCACCTGAAGATTGTCTCTCTTATGCTCATTTTGATACAATAATCTAAGTTTCGTAATGTTCAAATCAGGACTCAAATAAAGCCTCTTGGAGCTCTTCTCTCGACAGTAATGGCTTTAATTGCATTTTAATTTCTTCACGAACGACCTGACAGCAAGTTTCTTCTCAGCATGAGTTTTTCCTTTTCTGTCCCCACCCCTTCTCTCGGAGGTGCTCTTTCCGGATTGATAATTTCGATGGGAAACACCCTGAATCCGGTTTTCGGAGATCACGGAGATACTTAGAAAAGCATTCTGACATACTCGCTTTCGTTTGTTGTTGACGTACACGTAATATTCAATGGAAAAATCATTCCTTCGGATGGCATTTGTATCACGGACTCGCTTCGTCGGTATTGCCTGTGTGTGTTTCAAGATAAAGATGTCTTGATCAACTTTAGTTATATGAGAATATAAAACACGGTGAATCCTTGAGATTTGGGCGGTTTGCAACTGTTTAAAACAAAATGCGTGATTTTTAGCACCGTGTCTGCAAGGCAAAGTTCTCGGGGGCATCCCAGGACGCAAAGCACGACGTGAAGACTAAGAAGTCTTCATGAATATTATTCGTGGCTTGATTACCCTACAATATAATATCATAAATGAGCGCGAAAATTAACTTTTAGAGTCAAACAAAGTGGATGAACAAACTCACCTCATGAGTTTCTCCCTTTCAGCTTTCCAATTCTTCTTTTTGACAACCCGTATTCTTGGGCGCTCTAGCTTTTCTTCCGGGTAGATATCCATTGGTAAGAAGTTAAAAGAATAATGAAAACAACCTGCTCCTAGTTGACAACACTTTCGATGAACTAGAGAAACAGCAAGCAAGCCGCGAACAAGATTGATAAGAGGAACAGGAAGGCCCGGGAAGGTTATCTGCAAGGTGGATGCTAGCTACCGCTTCTGGCGGGAGATGGCAAACGCTTGGAATGAGCTGGATTTGATCCAGAGGGCAAACCTTTTCATCTAATTTGGGTTGGAGTGAGCTGGATTTGAGCTATATCCCTTCGTCAGGTTATGAAGGACCCTCTAAACTTTCATAATATGCAAAAAAAATTGAATGTTAGAAAAATATGGAATGAGCTGGTTTTTTAGCAAACGCCTCAATTCTACTATTAAAATACAGATGTGTTGCTTACCCTTATTTACACTTAAGTTTTCAATAGATTAAATACATTTACCAACTAGTAAAATTCAATATCAAATTTCATAATACTTTAGGATATTATGCATTTTTAATTCTCATAGTGATACTTATAATTACAGATTGCTGTGATATCTCTGAATTTCTCTCGATAATGATAAAGGAAGAGCCGTATTTTGACCCAAACATTAGTAAGCATATATTACAACACCACATAATGTCAGTATTAAGTATATAATAGAATGAAATACAAGAGTAATAACACAAACATTTCATAATAAGGGGTTAGGTTAAAAGAGGAGAGTGAAATATGTACTTATCAAGGGGAAGAAATTGAAATAATAGCCAGAGACCTTATCTATACATGAAACTAGAAGGACTTAGAAACATACTGATTGTGTTTTAAATTATATTCGCAACAACTTGGTTTTGAGATAAAAGAAGAATTGGAGACAGGTCTATACAAAATCACTGCGTAGTTGGTTCAAAAGGAATGAATATAATGATGATGATGATGTTCTTTATACCGTAACTTCACTTTTTTCATTCACCGTTCAGGAGTTATAAGTAAAAAACAAACAATGTTCTAGGAAACGGAGTTTTTTGGCTGAATCAGTTCTCTTGAAATAAGTTCTGGGAAGTCTTTGTTTGAATTTCTGATTTTTATTTCCTTGCACCGATATATAGAAATTTCAAACATGAAAACATCTACCACGTTTTCTACTATATTACTCCCATTTCGTTCCTCAACTGGTTTAATCTTTGTTTAAAATTAGGGGCTTTGGTATGGTCGACAAGGTTCATTTTGATTTAAATAACATATGCTACCATAATTCACGTTCGAATCTCCCCTTCTAACAGAGCCCTTCTTAGACCCCGCTTCTAAGCTTTGAAATTTTTAGAGAGTTTTAAATAAAAACCATGGCATAATAAGAATTAATAGTATGATATATCGATATAATTTTCAGCAAAAGCACAGGCCTACGCCATTGAAGGGAGGTTTCAATGGGCCCCACTAACTGAAGGGTTTGGAGGCCCCTAATTGGAGGAATTAGAGAGTTGATTCAACAAAACCTAAATAGTCTGCAGTTCTTGTATTTTTTAATCTGCGAATAAACGAACTTGCCATCCACCAAGATGGAAAAATTGTCGTTTTATCTTACCTGCTTCATTAATTTCACGAATTAAAATTGTCGTTGCTTACAGTTTTCACACTTACCTATTTACTTTCAGTATCAGTATCAGGTATGATTCAGGAGTCAGGACTCATCCTAAAGTTTACTAATAAAAACGATGAGTGTATTATTCCTTTTATATAATTTTTTATGTATCCGTTATCACATTTTTATGTAATCCTTCCTACAAGTATATACCTATTTAAGCTAGAAATGCAGAAAGATTATCATGACTCTGCCAACCTATCATAAGTGAAGGTATCATTGTTGAGGATCCTGTTTATAGATCCTCATTCGTATACCTCTATCTTGCATCAGCTGGATGCATTTATCTAATCCATTCCTCTTCGATCGGAAACTTCTCTGACTTCATCTTCCTTTATGTTTCTAAACTTATCTTTTAGCCTTCTTTCTTCCACTCTTACTTCAGACATGATATCAGCCACTTTTTCCGCTTCAATCTTTACTACTATCGTAGCCTATATTCTTCTATTGCTGGTTTTATTCCTTAACTGATTCTGATTGTCGTGTTTCTAACTGTTGCTGTTTGTTTCCTTGTTTAGCAACTGTAATTATTCCTGCAGGATTCTAAGGCTCTGTTTTTGTAGATTAAAACAAGATTAGAGAGAACATGAATAGTTTAAACTTTAAGAAAATAAAATCATAAAATAGCTAAGATCCACCCTAAGGTACACCGTATCAGATTAGTCAACTAGATTTCGTTTCGACAACTATTACTTATAAACAGAAAATATCGATTAAAAGTATAATTTAAACATCTGATTAATTTGTATGATTGTTTTAGAAATCAAAAATGAGAAAGAAGCATCGGTTAGTGAAACAGAAACAGCTCATCGTTCATTTCCTACAGATGATTGGTCAAAATTCGAAGAAAATTCAGCAAGTTGTGAAGCCTACTTAATGAACGGAAAGGAGCGCTTATATTCAGCTAAACCATGCCTTACCTCACTGGATAGTTCGACTAAAGTTGAAAGGCCATTTAAATGCAGAGACTGTGAATATAGAGCAAAGCGAAACGATACCTTAAGAAGTCATGTGAAGGCAGTCCATTTAAAGTTGAAACCTTATCATTGCAGTTTATGCGCCTATAGAGCCGCACGGAAACGTAGGCTAGAAGAACATGTCCAAGTCATTCATTTTAGCGAGAAGACTCTCATGTGCCCGGAGTGTGAATACACTGCGGTATTACCCGAAGCAATCCGAAAACACGTAAAATTTGTACATATGAAGCTGAGGCCACATCAATGCCCCGTGTGTGATTACAAGGCTGCTCTCCCGTCAGCCTTGAGGATCCATCTCAAAGTGATCCATTTAAAGGAAAACGATGAATACCCTGACTTTGGTTATAAAGATGAGCATCTTCGTGACCGTACGTATCTAAATCAAGGATAAGGCCTTCACAGAAGTGACTTGATACGCTTCCATGGTCAGGAGACAAAGTTTGTTTAACGGTCCAATACACCTTTTGGATCTTTAGGCTTCATTCAGTCCTTTTTACTGCTTCAATTTGTTGAACAGCACACAGCAACTATATTGTCCGGTCCAAGAAATAACTACCTATTGCCTCTACGTAACTACTATAGATCTCTTTGCCTGCATAGTACTGTGTCTTGAATTACCTACATTGTCCCAATTTCAAAATCATTTAATAAAGTTGTTCTGGAATCAACATTATTGTTTTCAATTAGTATTATGAAATTATTACTTAGGCTTGACGATACACTAAATATGGATTTCAGTCTTTATCGCCACATTACTAATACTATTCTTTCTCTCAATCAATACCGATCCCTCACTTCACATTTTTCTGAATTCTTCCATTGCTTTGTCCATAATGTTTATCATATTATTGCCTTCACAGAAACCTATTTTAAGCCAAAAATCTCGTCTTCTTTCTTAACTCGTAATTATACATTTATTTTTCTATGATCTAACGGATCGAAATGGTGGAAGAGCGGTCGTGTTGATTAATAACGGTCTGAAAGATAAATCCTATGAATCTCCATTTTCTGGCTATTCAAATCTCCATTTCCTTGCTTCAGATGAGCTCAATAAACAATCTATGTAATTAGAGGAGACTTCAATATAGGTCCCATACCAAACTCTTCTGAAAAAATTACTGGTTGACCTGGTATACCCGTTGGACTTATTCATTATACCCAGTTGCGTAAATAATGCCAATCCTGTAAATGAATATACTAGAAAAAAATTAACCAATAGAAAAACAGTTTTTACTTGCTCATTATCGAAGGTAGGGAAGCTTTGCATTCGTGCGGGATGTAAAAAAAATTGTACTCAGAATCGAAAACTTCGGCTCGCGTTTTACGCTTCACACATGAAGTGTCTGTCTGTAGTCAAATCGATGTAACAGGTATATCACCTACTACCGTTTATCTGATTTTCAGCTATTGTGAAGGTTGATGCTTAGATAGTTCCATGTAAATATTATCAAATTCCATTCAGCACTTCTGCTTACGCACGCGCAAAAGTATTTTTTTAGATATGCCAATTTTTCAGAAACGGCTCCGTTGATTTGGCTCAAAGTTGGATAAAACGTTGGAATTGGTGAAAAAATAATGTAGTGTAAATTTTATTGAATTCTGCCTGTGTTTTCCTTGATACGTCTGTATCTGTAAAACGGCACGGAAGTTGGGATTAAACAGATAATCAAGTATGTATGAATTTCACACCGATCCGTTGGCTGTTGGATAGACGACGAAACTGTTCAACACGTCGAATCATGTGGAGAGATGACGCAACCGACAGGCAACAACAGTCAACCGCATGCTACAAGTTGCCTAAAAGTTGCCTCATTTGACAGACAACAAAGGTCAACCTGTAGCATGCGGCAAGGAAACATATTTTTTGTCGCTTTATGTTCCTTCTATGAAAAGACTATGTGTAGCATGCTCCAATGCCGCGTTCTACATGTTGTCCAAAAGTTGCCTCAGTGAAATTCCGCCTATAAGGCGCAATACCACTAAGATAACATGTAGCATGCGCCATAGACGTTGATGCAGGTAAAAAAAATCTGGCAACACACAACTTTCACTTACCGATCTACTTTGAATAGAAATTATTTTCTGGCAATGCTGAGCTATTATAAAATTTTTTGAAGTGCATTTAAAACGGAGCTAAAGCTTACAGATAACACGTCATTAATACCATTATAATTAAAAAATGTCTATTTAATATATCGACGACAGGCAATAAAAATCTATTCACTCTATCTGCTTTTATAAACCACAGAATGACTAATTCCAATTTCAACATTTTTGAATGATGTCATTTTAGTGATATTTTTAGTTGAAAAAGTTATCTATGCAGACAATGAGTAAGTTGATTCAAGAGGTGGTGATTGCAGTGTTGAAATATAGAACTGAGAATAAAAGTAAAAGGGGGGAACGAGGTAGTAAAGTTAATTCCTTCTTTCTCTTTAAACATGTAAAAAAATTAAAATAAAATAGCCTTAAATATTAAAAATAAATAAAATAAAAGATAACCGATTTTTGAAATATATATTAAAAGCAGGGTCATACCCAAGTGGAATCATTTATTATATGCAGGATTTCTTCTAGGCCAGGAGAGAGGGTGGGAGATGGATGTCAGAGTCAAAAATCTTTCTCCTCGAGTACCGGGATTCAAAATCGTAATCTTCGGTTTACTTTGTGGGATAATACTTTTGACTGAGGAATTCTATCTACCCTGACCCGGGAAAAACTCTCATATAGCCAAAATGCAAGAAAGGGGAAGAAAAAAAAATGAAAAAGAAAAAAATTGGTTACCACGCGAAGCAATTTAGCTAATTACATTCTATAAATTTAAGTTAATTATTATATATAAAGCTTAGAAAACGAAGAAATCCTCATATTTCTTAAGACTTCATTTTCAATTAATTATTTTGTTGTCTTTTGGTTCAACATTCAACATATTCAGAGAAAGTAGAGATAGTTTTGAATCTCTATAAGTTATGCTCTTTATAACAACTATTTTAATTTAACTGAAGTAAAAATTAAATTTTAAAATTTACCAATTCTTATAATAAATAACAGTGATCAAATTTCATTATTTGGAACTGTGAAGTAAATAAAACATATTTTATCGGAATTTTACTTTTCAATAATGAAAGCAGTGAAACAAGTAAACTGTAGACGGCCACACGTGTGTACCCTTTCCAGTTGAGTTCAAGATGGCTACAAAACCAGCAAAGGTGTTTATTTTTGTTCTTAATGTTTTCTCCTGTTATTAATGTGAATATTTATTAGTATACATTTATTTTGCTGTTATTTTAATTGTTTACATATTTGTGTTTATAGAGAAACAGGGAACCAATCCAGTGCGTCCAGGTTTTCGGCAGAAAGGTTAGACCACGTTTTGTATTTTTGTTTTAATATAACTCTGTGGTTTGTGTCAATTTATGAAGTGATTCTGCACAACCATGGTATCGTTTTTATTAAATGCGGTAGTTCTGACTTACATTAGTTTATTGTCTAGTTTCTCTGTATTTTTTCATTGGATTAGAAAATCGTGTCATTACTTATTTATCGATATGTAACTAATAGTAAGTAGCTTAAATTATAAAAAAAAATGTTTTCTTCCTTAATTTCTTGTGGACTATATAGTTATTAAAGCATTTTTGATTCAAGGATTTTACTATTCTTATTGTAAGGGCTCTCACAATTAATGCTCTTCAGAGATCTTTTTATATTAATTCTATAACACAATAAAAATTGTTAATTAAAATATTTGATAAGGTTTCCTGGGTTTGTGCACACTCTTAGAATCAAGCCTATTAAATTAATGTTAGGCTTCTATCAAAAGTATTGTCTTTTAAATTTTCTTTTCTGGAGATTCCCCTCAGGATCTCATGAAAATGTGTAATTAAAATGCTTCAATAGTAACTTTAATAACCCAACTCTTGTGTCACTAGTTCAGTGAATAAAACAGGCATAATGGCCATTTTTGAAACAATTAGGTAATTGTATGAACTCCAGTTATATTAAAGGATACCCACTCTCAAATGTCAGGTTTAGGTGATGAGTGCCCCATGATCATATTTTAATTCTCGTCCCACATGGAATGCTGAAATTCGTTCAGTATGTATGTATAGACACCATTCACATCTAATTATCCATTTCAATATTGAATTAAATTTTGAAATAATGATGAGTGAAATCTTTGATTTGTCATTCTCTCCACACTCTTCATAATTAAAATGGTCACTTGCACAATTGATTGAATAATATTTATACACCTCATTAAAATAGAGATGCAGTTTACGTATCTGTTAATTTTTATTAATGGGACCTACTTTAAATCAAAGAATTTTAATTTCAAGAATTAATTTAACATTTTCTGACACAATACTTACATTCGACTTTCAAAGAACAATGTCCCTATTAATAAGTGCATTTGCTGTGACCATAATCAAATCGCAGGGTAAAAGTTTTGGAAAAATTATTGCGACGTCCAGTAATTTCACATATAATGGACAATTATATGTGGCAGCAAGTAGAGCACATTCATTTAAAATATCGAAATTTATTTTGATCGCAATTTGTTTTAATGATTTTTTTATTGAGACTCAATACATAAATTTTGTTGTATGTAATATTTTTATTAAAAGTTATGTTGGTATTTAATTACTAATTTAATACATTTTTATTTTCTATAGAAAACTGCTACTGCTGTGGCCTACTGCAAACGGGGTAATGGTAACCTAAGGGTCAATGGACGTCCTCTGGATATGATTGAACCTAGGGTACTTCAATACAAACTTCAAGAACCAATTTTACTTCTTGGAGAGGTATAAATGATTTTGGCTTTTTGAGCTTATTTGATGTTGGTTTGCATCATTGCTGTTATGCAGACATTTAATATTGTCTTATCATTTTTACCTTTGTTATTTTTCTTTAGTTATCATAGTCAAAGTTGGCCTTATTAATATTAGGGGGACTGGAAAGTATTGTCGTTTCTGAGCATGTTACTATTTGTTTGTCATTTGGCAGCTTATTGTGTACATTTATGTTTTGGCAAAGACATTCTAAGGTTATAGTGACTTCTTTAGTTGCATATAATTTAATTAATTTTTTTTTGTTATTTGTGGCCAGTCCAATACCAGAAGAGGTCAGGTCAATATCTGGTATTGTTTTTTTTTTTTTTTTAGTTTCACAAGGATATTAATGCAACAGTTGCTACCAAAAACATTTGCGATATAAATGCCAAATGTCATTTATGATGTATATGCCAAAGGTGTTTTTTGAAGTACGAAGCCAGAAATTTTGATCTTTCTGACTCCTCTTGATCAGGAAGATTAGTGATGTGTTGAGGACGAAAGTCGTAGCAAATCTGTGACAGACAATCAGGAACATTTTCAGCAGATTGGAAAACCGCCTTAAATAATTTTTTGATCGCTTGATCACCAGAGATCAAAAGGCAGTGTCCCTCTTAATAAGAATCTCCACAAAGCGCTTTAAGCCAGGTTTACACTCCAAAAAGGCCCTTTTGTGTATTTAGTGGAGTATTCCTAGTGTTGCTCATTTTCAGGTGCAGAAACTGTGAATGAAGACCTTTATTGTGAACAATTGATTTTGTTAATCAATCTATTTAAAAAGTAGCCAACTATTGTCAATAAAAGGTGTTATTCTGCAATACAAAATAAAAGATCGCACTGTGTAACATGAACCCTAAAAATTAGTTTGGGACGTACTGCCTCATCCATCATACTCGTCCAATATTGCACCATTTGTTTGGATCGTTTCAACACTTTCTAAGTGGCAAAAGATTTGCAAATTTGAATATCTAAACTGCCATCTGTATATTTTGCTCAAAAAACTTGTGAAATTTATATATTTAAATTTAGTGTAAGATTAAGATATCACTTTCCAGTCCCTGTGATATTTGAATAAACATTTACTTCAGTCTTTCAAATGCATCTTCCTTACTCAGCTATACATTTACATTCATAGATTTATCTTAATTGGTTAGAAGTCAAAAAAATGTCCATTAGAGTAAACTACAACAGTGTTAATATTGTCAAATTATTCCTAACAATGCTTTAAGCACTTATTAATTGTTGCAGCTTCGAAAGTAGCTGAGATTACATTTCCTTCCACTATTATGTTTCTGGTTAGAAATACCTACTGTTATAATACCATATAAATAAATTAAGGTTAAGTTTTTGTTTTTTATTGAGGAGATTTCATCCACAATATTTTCTACTATTATTATTTCAGTCTCATCATGTTTTTTTTTTCTTACACTGTTCTAAACATATTCTTCCTAATTTTCACTTAATAATGTTGGAAATTTATTTTAGAAAATTATTGATAAATGGGTTTATGTAATAATTTTATCTTTTTTTTTAGGAAAGGTTTTCTGGTGTTGACATCCGTGTTAGGGTTAACGGAGGTGGTCATGTGGCTCAGATTTATGCTATTAGACAAGCAATCTCTAAGTCACTAGTCTCATACTATCAAAAATGTGAGTTTTATTTTTTGTTCTTACTATTGTGAAAAATTTTGAATTCAAGTTCCCTACAGTTTCCCACTTGATTAAAGAATTACTTTAAAAATAGCTCAAAATAACCGTTTTGGTAATTGCCTTTTGAGTTCTGTTGATAATGGTTAGATCTCATTCTCATTGAAATAGTCAGACCATGCTTCAATTAAATTTTTATTAGAGTGGGTTTCTCTAAAGTAAGTACCTTAATTTTGTTTGGCTTTGCCTTATAGTTTCACCCGTATTAAATTTGGATTATATATGTCTATTTTATACGCCTCTGAGCAAGTGTATTTGATTAACTCTAAAAAAATATTAAATATTTTTGACAAAAACTAAAGCAAAGAGACTAATTACCAAAAAAAGTAGCTGCTGGATTGATAGTATCTTCATTTAATTTGATTTATTTTATTAACTGTGTCCTAAAAAGTTAACTCGTTTTAGGAGAAAGTTGGTATGTGAATTGCAATAGTATAGTATTAGTAAAAAGAATCTTTTCTGCTATTTCCAAAGCTGCTGTTTTAAAAAATATTTTCGCTGTCAATTGAAAATTAAAATGAGGGTTATATTGTTTGATATAAGGAATTTTTTTTTTTCAATTTTGACAAATATGAACCATCCAGGGAGATCTTTAGGCAGCCCAAAAAACTCATTTTTTTATTTTGTTTGCCGATAACTCCTGAATAGTGCACCCAAGGGAAAAACTTGTTCTTAAACTAATTAATGCATGTTGCATTGTATGTCAAATGAGTATTAAATAGTAGTACATTTCTCAAATTAAGAGCAGAAATTGTTCACTTCTCCATGAAATTCGGTATCTGTTAGCACATTGTTTCTCATTATTCAATGCTGGTGGGAACCCTGAAGCAGGTCTTTATTGAATATAACAAACCATTCTTGAATAGCTCAGTACAATAATCGTCCATATTGTTAAAGTGTAATAAGCAAGACACAGAGTGCCATGTAGTAAAAACCAACAGGATATGCCATATATTATGCAGTATAAAATCCTGAAATATGCAGTTACCGATCTCTAAATATACTAAACTTACTCATTACTTGATTATTAATCTGTCAGTAGCATATTCAAATATAACAAGACTTATCACCAACTTACCACCTCTTTTCAAGACCTTAGATTATTTTATAAAATAGCCTATTGTTTATCAATATCAGGCGTGATTAATGTGAAGCGAGGATTCCTTCCTGGAAGATATGTACTTTCAGCATCAGCTTTTGTAAAGAGTTTTAATATTTATTCATGGGGAAAATTGCGTAGATACCAAGATCAATATTTTAGTCTTTTAAATCAATGACATTGGATTTCATTATAGTATATTTAAACGTTTACTTGAATTCTTGGTTTAAATATTAATAAAAGTCAAACATGATAGATTACATAGATTTTAAGCAAAACAAACAAAATCAATTGATCAAACAAATGTTTTATTACTGGTGTTATCCCAGTGGTCAAAATTCAACCATAATCATTGAAAATTTGAGGAAAACATAATTCAATAAAAAAAAAAAAAAGAGTAAATCATGATATAAAAATCCTCATTTATTAATAAAAACAAAATTTCAATTTCAATTAAAAATGAAGTTTAAACTACTTAAAATTATTTATAAGTAATACAAAAATGTACTCTCACATTTTGATTTATGTACATCATTAGCACAATAAATCAATGTAATGATAAAGCAAGTAAAAAATATATTCGAATTAGCAATTTCAGTTTAAATCAATTTTTATGTAGAACTTCTCTGTAAACAATGTTCTTTGTGAATGATTGAAGAGAAGAATGGTTGGGGTGATTAGTAAAAAAAAAAAAAAAATTGTAAAAGTAAATAGTTACTTACTTTCTGACGGGCTTTACAATCCGAGGGGGACCTTGGCCTCCTTCATGATTTTTCCATTCCTCTCTATCCCTCATTCTTACCCTATATTTTCTCGGTCCTCTTTCCATTTTTCTGGAAAATTCCTCCCTAAGTATCGTTGCTTTGTTATCTGGCAATGTTTCCATGTGTCCTAACCAACTAATTCTTCTAGCTTTAATGAATCGTACAATATCCTCGTGCTTCAACAGTTCATCCAGCTCCTGATTTATCCTTATCGTGTATTCTCCATGTATGCATAGGGGACCAAAAATTCTCCTCATGATTTTTTTTTCGAAAATCCTTAGTGCCTTCTGGTCAGCTACTTACAGCATCCAGGCTTCGGCTTCATAGCACACAACTGGTCGAACCAAGGATTTGTACTTCTTGAGTTTTGTGACTCTGGGCAGGAGTGTCTATTTAAAAAGCTTTAGCATACCACTAAGTGCATTCTATTGCCTGCCATGATTCTTCCTCTTATTTCTGGGCTAATCAAATTTTCGCTATTGACTTGTGCCCCAAGATACATGAAACTCCACTACTTCAAAAAAGTATTGTATTCCTTGGAAACCAAAACTTTCTGGCTTCCTCCTTGAATCCGAGGTCAAGACTACCATATACTTTGTTTTAGCGTTGTTAACTATTAATCCAATATTGTTTCATTCTACAACCAATGTCGATAAAACCTCAATTTTGCCGCTTTGCTTCTACCTATAATTGCAATGTCTTCAACATATCCCAATATTTGTCTTGTTCGGTATGCTAAACTATTCCTCTAACTGCATTATGTAGCGCCAAGTTTAATAGAATTGCTGAGAGTGTGTCTCCCTGCCTTACACCAGAATTAAATTGGAAGATTCTCAGGTAAAAATGATAATAATAAAAAGGCTTATCGAACCCGAAGGTTCGATGCCGACACCACCAATCGCCTATTGCACACCTCCCTCCATCGTTCGCCGTCCAAACCCAGTCCCTTCAGATCGGCTTTAATGCAATCTTCCCACCTTCGCTTCGGTCTACCCCTCGGACGCTTACCATTCGGCACAGCAAATATTAACCTTTTAGAAATTCTCTCGTTACTAAGCCCAACAACTTTACAAGCCCTTTTGATTCGCTGGGATGAAATTACCTCAATTATATTACCCGGATACAGCTCACGCAATTCGGCGTTGTGTAACCGTCTGAACTCTCCGGTTAACTCATCCGTCTTCGGTCCGAATATTCTACGCAATACTTTATTTTCAAAAACCTTAAGACGCTGCTCATCCCTTAATATAAGCGGCCAAGTTTCGCACCCATAAAGAACTGTAGGCAAGATAATTGTTTTATAGATTCTAATTTTTAAGTTCCTGGACAAGAGGCGCGAACTAAGTAGTTTTGTCACAGAAAAATAACAAGCATTTCCCACTTTCAGTCTAACCTTAATTTCTTCTTCAATTTTGTTTTTTCTAGTTATCGTAGAACCTAGATACCTAAATTTCTCTACCTGTTCAAACATATTACCATCTATATCGATATCAGCAGTAGTATCGCCATTTTTGCAGCTAACCATATATTTTGTTTTATCCTCGTTTATTTCGAGTCCTAGTTCTTTCCCGGCTTTCATTAACGTTGTCGTATTTAGTTTTATAGTTTCAAAGTCTTCGCTTAACAGTACCAGATCATCAGCATAGCCCAGCACGGATGTTGTCCCACCCAGATCCAACCCTCTCTCGGTTCGCATTACCTCCCTAATGGCATGTTCTAATGCCAAATTGAACAGGACAGGCGAATGAGAATCCCCCTGTTTTAAACCCGAACGAACCTCAAATTTTTCGGACAGATTATTACTGATTCCAACTTTATTGAGTGTCTCCGTCAAGCACATCCTGACTAGATTTACTAGTTTTTTTGGAATCCCCTGCTCGATTAGAATATTATACAGTTTCTGGCGGTCAAATAAATAATTATATTTATTTTTGCCGACGTTTCGGCTCTAAGTTCAGGCATTCATCTGGGCTAAGAAAAAAACAGATAACTATAGGTATGAGAAGCTATAAACATTGAATAATGAAGAATTAAAACCAAAAAGGTGAAAGGTATAGACTAAAAAATTTATGTAGGATAAACTTGCAGTAAAATAAAGTGGTAGAATAATAACAGTAACAGAGATCTATGAAATAAATTATAATGGTGACAAAGTAGGGACTAATGAAATAAAGATAATCAAAATAAGTTAACATAAGAAATGAAAAATGAATTAACCATGAAAAGTAGTGGAATGTATAAGATAATAAACGTAAGTCTAGACAATGAAATAAGAAAAAAAGTGGGATGGCATAGTTGCTAAAATATGATATAGTATTTTAAAAGGAAGTGAGATAATTATAGAATAAAATGTAAAACAGAGAAAAGCAATATGAAGTATATAAGGAAATAATAGATATAAATAGAAAATTGAGATATTGTAAAATCTATCCAAATAAACTGACTACGTATAAGAGAACAAAAATTTAAAATAGTGTAAAGAAGATAAGATAAGCAAATGTATCAATATACACAAAATAGAGATGGAGATAAGGAAAATAGAGTGATAGGAAAACAGGAGAAAAGTAAGAAAAGAAAGACAAACAGACCTGGTCAAACGAAGAGATGTCGTTTGACAAACCTATTATGGTGAGAAAGAGTATAGCTTACATAACGCCATCTGTAAGGGTTAACTGAAACCTTTGACTGATCATCCCAACCATACTTCTCTTCAATTATTCACTAGTCAACCATCAATCCACAATTCTTAGTGAATGTTATTGCTTAGTGAAATGTTATTAATACCTATGAAATAAACTAAGATAAAGATTTTGTTGAAATTAATGTGGTTCTCTTGGATAACAAATTTACCATTGGCAAACTCATTATTATCCTTTTAAGGCTCTGGCTTCACAGCTATAATAGAATAATTTTATAAACACTTGACATTTAGCTTTGGAGTGGGAGAGGGGGGTGGTTGACAGTTAACAAAATGGTTAATTAAGTTCATCGATTCATTGTCTTTGGTTCGCACTAGTGTTGCTGGTGGATATTTTTGTTGGTTCACCAATTGTCATAAAGTGTAGTGCGTATAGTATTTGGGTTTTCAACAAACTCATTATGGCAAGATTGTACTGAGTTAGACTAACTCCCAACATTAATTTGTTAATATGTATAGACTAATTGTTCAAACATAAATGAGTAATGAAATATTTATTGTGAATAATTAATTTAATGTAATTATTTATTTATTTTAGATGTAGACGAAGCTTCTAAAAAAGAAATTAAAGAAATCCTCACTCAATATGACAGGACACTTCTTGTAGCAGATCCTAGGAGGTGCGAGCCTAAGAAGTTTGGAGGTCCTGGAGCGAGAGCAAGATACCAGAAGTCATATCGTTAAAGTTTCTGTGTACACAATTTTTACATATGTATTGGTTTATATAAAGTAAACCAAATTAAATACTTGTTTTTATTTTTGTCCTTATTATTCACAATTAGTGTTCAGATTGTGCCTCTGGGTATTACATTCATTAATTTATTCTACAGTTTACTAAACATCTCATGTATAGGGCGACACAAACAAAAATTGGGTTTGGTGCACATTGCACAAGTTTCACTTACCCACCCTCTTAGCAGAAATTAGTATTTTCAGACAAAGAGAAGTGAAAATAAAAATTATTGACGGTATAAAACATTATTTAAAACAATTAATTACTATTTGTTTTTCATAGCCGTCTAATGTATTATATTTAACTAGCTATTTCGTTTTACAACTGTATATTTCTATTATAAGTATGGAAGCCTGTTCTAATCTTTAATACATATTCGTATTCCTTTGGCCCCTCCATTAAAATTATTCTTGGTTACAATCTCCTATTTCTTCTTTAGTAAATTATCAAATTCTTTCATATTTTTTATCAGAATTATTTGGGAATGATCGATTATTACAAATAAAAATAAATTTTAGAAAGTTCTGAATAAATGATATACAAAAGTTAAACTAACAATATAAATAATCCCCTGTAGAGGGGTATCGGGTAATCTGTAAAACAAGGGCTCTGGAAAGGTCAGGCATTCTCTGCTGTTTCTGTATAGCTTCCAACCCTTATTTGTACGTTAGTTGCGAATAAATTTTCTTCACTAGTTAGATTTAACTTTTTTTACAGCATGTTACAATGTGGAAAGGTTAATTATTTCAAATTAAAAAAAAATTGAAGGTAATTTAGAAGAACAAATATTAAAAATTGGACCTTTAAGCCCTGATACAGAACATCAATAAGAATAAAACCTACATCCTACTATAAACTGCTTAATTTTACACTGATAAAATGAATTAACTCAAAATTGTTTGAGCCGTTTTCGAGAAAATTGTAAAAATGTGTAAAATCATATAACATACAGGGTGTCCCATAAGTAGAGGGAAATATTAAAAAGGTTGATGGTAGACATCAAAATCTATATTAAAAGTTCATTGACGACTTCGACTTCAGTTAGTTTACCATAAGACCATCCCTGCGAGGTGAAGAACCACATCCAGCCAGAGGTGACCCTGCTTTCGACAAAACAGCCGATCTAGACCTGTCAATTATGACATGATTCTGGATGACCTATGGCTTCATATCAAAACAATCATCCTTTCTAGTGCAACAGAGGCATGTGGTATTAAGAAAATAAGGCCTCAGACCAAAAGTACTAGATGGAATGATCAAGTGCAAAAAGCAGTAAAAGATAAAGAAACATGGAGTCTAAACAAGCAGAATAAATCCCAAGCTTCTTATGATATAAATACCTCAGATTGAGAAACATGGCCAAGAAAATTGTAAGGGAAGCCAAGGCAAGATCTTAGGAGGAATTTAAAAAGGAGAAAATCAAGTTCTGGAGTATTATAAATGGACTAAAAGGGAAACAGGTATGAAGCATCCAAGACAATAACGATAATTTGGTGTCAAATAAAAAAGAAATTCTCAAGGGTATGGCAAAAACACTACCAGAATCCCTTTTCCTTCCAGGAATACAGCCAATATCCTGGATATGATGGCCATAGAAGACCTAGAATCCGTGAAAATCAAGTGGGGAGAGTAGTGGAAATAGTGAGAGTGATGTAGAGGAAGATGAAATTGCATCGGCTATGGAGAAAAGAAAATTGGGCAAAGCAGCAGGCAGGGATAATATTATGCCAGAACCCATAAAATATGGAGGAGAAGAAACGGTCAAGTGCCTTCAGAACTTATAAAAGATCGCAAAAAAAAAAAAAAAAAACAGGACTGGGAAAATAATATGATTATGAAGAAAGACAACCAGACAAAATGCGAGCATTATAGACCAATATGCCTATCCTCTGTTGTATATAAGAATATTAAAACAGAGGCTCAGGAGATTGATGGAGCATGAACTGGGAGAGGAGCAGCTTCAGACCACGGAGGCAAACCCAGGATCATATTTTCTCATCAAGAATGGTTGTTGAGAAAGCATGGGATAGAGGAAGAATGCTATTTTTGCCATTCCTGGACTTGAAGACTGCATTTGATTCGATTCCTCGTCAAGAGATTAGGAATGCAGTACAGGAAAAACGGGTGCCATCCAATCTGATCAGCGCTGTCAAATCGGTATACCAGCATCCCAAGGGAATAGTGCGGCTTAACGCATCTGAATCGGAGTCATTTAGGTATTAAAAAGGCGTCAAGCAAGGTGAAAAGTGACCGAGATGTGGAAGACCAAGTTCTCATAAAAAGTAATAATGAGCTATTGGAAAAGGTAGATAACTACCAGTACTTGGACACGATTTTCAGCAGAGATGGAAGGATCAATCAGGAGGTTTTAAAGAAAGTCAAGAAGGCCAATGGTGTGTTTTACTCCATCTGCATTACACTATTAGCGAAACAGAAGGTAAAGAAGAAAACAAAAATAGCTTAGTTTAAAACAGTATTTCTGCCTGTTCTTTTGTATGGTTCAGAGAGTTGGACGGTCCTTGATTTTTTTGTGAAGAAATCGGACAGTCATGAGATGGTAACAATCTGTAACAAAGGTTTGTAATTTGGATAATATTAATAATTAAAAAATGTGTTCGAATAAAGTTCATTTAAAATGAACAAGAAAAACCGTAAAAATAAAATTATAACTATTGTTTCGAATTTCAAAACATCAATTTATTTTTAGCGATTTGTATTTAAGTTGTTAAGTTTTGAAAAATGTGGGAGAGCGGGCACAGCACCGTCCGTTGCCTGGCAACCTGATAACCGAAGTTTTATGAATCATAAAATAACTACGAGTTCGCGTCCAGGTGCCAGAGGGGCTTTGAACTCTAACATACATTCCTCGCCTTCACCTCCTGGTCCGGAAAAACTCCGTATAGCCTAAAAGGCGAGGAAGGGAAGAACAAAAAAAAAAAAGTTTAGACAAATATTTGTTCTATAAATGCTGTAGTAATTTGTGTGTGCTTTCATATTTAATTTTTAAAAGATTAACATTTAAACAACATATAAAAGAAACAATATATTTTATATCTTATATTTTTATATATATAACTATAATATTTTATATGAAAATAAAGTGTTTTACTCACTATAAACAACATATGTACATATAAAACAATTTTATTTTCACTTCACCTTATTTATTTTGGTAGGCAATTCACATAAATAATAATAAAAAATATCACATAAATATGAACCGAGGTGTTGTCTGGCAGTTCCTCTATGTTTCATATTTCTACACTTAGCTGAGCCCCATAATCGTTCTAAGTGTTGATAGTTGTATATGTTCTATAGTTGTCTTAAATGGTTTCAGCTGCTCTTTGCAACAGTTTATCGTTGTTAAATTATGCGACCACCCATAAATAAATTTTAATGCCGTTTAAAACGAAATCCTCGACCCTCCTAACCACGTTCCTTTCCTTATAGAAACGTTTTTGTTACAAGTGGTACGAAAGCATATCCATCACGTCTCCCTGTCTAACTTCATTTCATGACCTTCTTCACACAATTTCACGTTTGAAATTATCCCAGCGTTTTGAAAATATTCAATAGCCTCTTCTTCTAAAGACGGTAATTACTAGAATATAATAACATCCATAATTTGACGAAAATAACACAAATGGAACAAAAATAAACAATGGAATAACTCACAGCTTACACGAGGAACAATGAGAAGGGCGGTTATGTGACGTAACATTAGATAATAAGGGAGGTTTCATCCAGGCCTCCTATCAGACATGTACCAAAAATTTTAGCTCTGTTATCTATCAAAACTGACAATTAATTAAGAACAAAAACATTATGCATGTTTTTGCGAATTTTCAAAACTTTACCCATTTTGAAAGCTCGATAGTTCGCTTCCTGTTGGGTTTAGAAAAAAAAATGTTTTCATTGAAACGACATACCCCAGAGATGATACTAAGATGATAATTTTGTGAGACGTACTGACATATGCCCGTCTGGTTCGGATTTGTGTTCACCACGGGACAGAAATGATCTTCGTATTGCTGCGGATAGACAAAGAACTGGACGTGCTGTCTGGTTGTCTGGACAAGGCATGTTTTCCAAGAACATGGAAGATTGCCGATCTGAAAATGATCTACAAGGGAGGGTTCAGAGATAAGCAAGCAGCTTCCTAAGTCATACAGACCTATATGCCTCCTTCCTATTATGAGTAAAGTCCTGGAGCATCTTATCTTAGTCAGTCTAAGACCAGTTCAAACGAGAGCGAGCCATCCACGGCAATACGGTTCAACGAAGGGTAGGGGAACCGCTGATGCACTGCTGAGAGTACGCGCGGATGTATCGCAAAGGGAGGACCAATATTTCATGGTGGACAGGAGGCTGAAGGTTCGAGGAAGTCCCTATGAGGTAGAAGCCTCCGTAGAGAGGGGCTGTTCACAGCGATGAGTCCTTGGTTCAGCTCTATGGAAACTGGTTTTCGACGAGTTGCCGGTCTGAAGTTCAAGGCGGAACAATGCGCCAATTTTGTGGCGAGATGGTGTGAGAGGAAATAGCTGAAGATGGCCGCTTCTAAAACGCAAGTCATACTCCTGAGAGGAAAAACTGATAGGGCCCATTCTATCACTCTATTGATACAAGGAGAGAGAATTCGTTCATGTGAAGGGATAACTAACCTTGGAATGAGATTTGGAATTTCAACATACTGCCCCACTTGTACTAGTTGGCTGGCAGAGCCAACCTCTCTCGAAATGGGCTCAGTCGAATCGGGATTGCTCTCTGGAGTCTCAGATACCCAGCGACAATGGCAATCTATAAAGGAGTTGTGCTGGGTATTGTGAGGTTTGCGTCCCCCGCCTGGTATTGTAACCCCTCAAGAAAACAGAAGAACAGGTTTGCAATGATACAGAGAACGGCTCTGGTGACGGGGTAAATAAGGCCTACAGGAGGCAGTGCAGGTCTTGGCAGGAGGGATTCCTCTGGACCTTATCCTGCTCGAAGATGCTACAGTGTTCAGCTATAAGAGAATAGGCACGGCTGGGGTTCCCGAGATTCGGGTTCGGAGATTTCCATTGATACTGCTTGGTCAATATATTGAAAACCATGTTACATAAGTTAATAATTGTAATTCATAAGAAAATGCGACTTTGAGCTTTTCTGACCAATCTTGGGTATGCAACAATTCAGATACATAAACCAAAAATGTTATTTAAAACATTACATCTACATAACAAGCATTCAATAAAAATTGAAAATAAAAAAAATACGCGGTTTATTTCGTCTAATGAATTAGTTTACTTTCTATTCACTTAAAAGAGTTTGCAATGGGACTATCGAACTGTTTAAATTTATTTTTGTACTTTAAGGATAACTGTCAAATTATTAGGACATTTTGTTAGATTAACTTTCATTCTTCTTGGTTATTAAAACTAATCAGTGATAATTATTAAGGTATTGATTTATTAAAGCATAAAAGGATCACCTTTCCATTGTTTCTTAGCTTGAGTAGTAAAATAAATTATTTGGTGATTTAGGTTTCTTAAATAGTTATTCTTTTTTTATGGTTTGTTTTAAGATACTGCGATACGTTCTATCGATTATAGGAAAGCATGAAAATGAACTAGCCAATAACATTCGGCCACACAATGTTCAAATTCAATGCTGGAAGTGCCAGCAGCTGATAGGTAACAGTTTCACATGGGTTACTGATTTGTAACTAAGAAAATGATAAAGCATTAAACATAACATAAATTATAGATTTTAAATTTTAAAGCCGTAAACATAAATGTGAGTAGCAGAAGTTATAAGTTGTCTGAAATCAAATGCTTGATTTATGACACTTTTTATTTTTATTTATGAAACTTTTATTCATATAATTTAGTGATATTATCTCAATTTTTTTTATGTAATTAATATAAATTTCAGTTAACATATTTATATTTCATTAATATTATAGAATGATTTTTTATTTTATTTTCAGATTAAAGATGAAGCTTTTGAGCTTTTTAGTTTTTGTGATTCTAATATTACAGTGTATAATAAAATGTCATGGAGTTGCTGTAATGAGTATAGATTTTGGAACAGAATGGATGAAGGTTGCTATTGTATCTGTAAGTAAAATTATAATGATTGTAAATTTTATGTTTGACAGATGTGTTCAAACCAACCATGGAATATCTGAGTTGCTCTTTATAATCTAGAGTTTACAGATCTACCCTTGGCTATGCCTTATGTTTTGAAGTAAGATAAGATCAACTTCTGGAGTAGTGTGATTGAAAACAACTTCATTTTTGTACTAAGTTGTAGAATAACCAGAAATGAGTTATTATTATAAATCTTCATGAACATTTATATTTTAATTTTTATTCATGCATAAGTTTGTATTTATGTGTATTATCCTCTAAAGTAGTGCCTCGCAAGCAAATGTTCCTTAAGTCACTATTAAAAAGTTACTAAAAGTTTGATGTTTCTTTACTAGAATATGACATAAAATACTTATATAACAACTAATATTGTTTTGTGATTTCACCGCAGTGTTAAAATTGGAAAATTAACTTTTAAAAAATATGAAGCAGAAATAGAACTTACAGATGTATTTTTTTAGGCATAAGGGAACGGAAAAAAAACTGGAAAAATTTGATTTTCTTAAAAATAAAGTGATTGGTTAAATATTCTTATAACCATAACTATAGAAGACATCATTTTAAAGCCAAGTATAATAAATTGAAAAAAAATTAAAGTGTATACTTCGAATGAATACTTTTTACTTCTGGTTTTTCAATGAAAAATAAGTTTTTGTGCTAAATCGACTTCTTTTAGCTCATGGTTCACATTTTGAAACTAAGTTCCTGTATATGTATTAGTTATCTGTGTATCGCTTCAATATGTTGTAAAGTGTAACATTCAATATGTTAAAAAGAATATTGAAACAATATTAAGTTGAATAAATCGGTTACAGAGAGATTGAAACGTCATGGAATAAGGTGTATTCAAATCATCAATTCTCGTCTGAATAAGTTTCTTTATGTATTGCCACAATCACTGACCTAACAGATTATTATAACTTTCATCAAGGTCATTAATTCATTACTTATCAACTATTCATATTTATTTGATGAAATTGTTATGCATAGACCTATTATATTCCAAGAAAAAACAAACAAAAAACTTTAGAATTAAAGGGAAAACAAATAATACATTGAAATATTATTTTAGCATATAAAATATTTTAGATAATTTTATTTATTAACTTTTGGAAATAATTAGCAGCTAAAAATGTTTATGTTTAAAGCCTTCTCTGGACTGTTCATGTAGTTACTCATTAATATTTCACTTACCTATATATTGATTTTTTACTTTTCTATTACTTGTTCTTATCAGCTTCTTTCTAAGGAAGGATCTTAAAATCATTTATTAATTTCTAATTTTCTTTAACGTAAATATTTCTAAATTGAGAAATAATGTTGAAAATGGGCATTTATTAATACATCTTGAATTCTCTGGTACATATCATCTGAACAATAAGTTTATATTAAAGATTTATTTCATTAGCATTCAGCAATTATAGGTTCTTGTTTTGTTTTTTTCACTGATTATAAGTTTAAAATATGATGTTCTTTAATTGACCTTATTTTATGCTCTGGTGAAAATAAATATGGTTTATTTGCTTTTGACTGTATTCTTAAAAACTGAGCTGTATATACAAAGCTCATTGTATTTTATTCTATTCTAATATTATTCATTGGTATGTTATTTTCTGTTCTGATATTTTATTCTTGAATTTAGGTTGATCAAAAATATATTTTGTTAATTTATCTAATGAATCTATATAAAGACCGCCCATACTGGAAAACAAGTGCCAGTGAATGATTTATCTTAGTATGATTACCTCTTGTGATATCAGCTACTAGGCTACATCAATGCTTTCTAATATAAACATGTATTAAATGTGTGACTAACTTTTATTATATCATTTTCAAATTGGATGTTTATATTCCTTTCAAACATTTTTTTTTTTTAGTGATTTCATGTGTAGTCTCTTTTATTATAGTTTTGTTAATATAGACAAGTATGATTATTATTTCTTCCTAATTGACGTTGAAAACAAATATCTGTCAACTAATTATAAATTATTTCATCTTTGACAAATGTCTCATAATTCATTCATTCATTATAATAATCTTATTCAAATAATTCATATAATATGTTAAGATAAAAATAATTAATATGATTAAAATTGTGTGAAATATCTCTTAAATAACAATCTATTATTAACAGCCAGGAGTACCTATGGAAATAGCATTGAATAAGGAATCAAAAAGAAAAACACCTATAGCAATTGCATTTCGGGATGGTGAGAGGACTTTTGGCGAGGATGCACTTAGCGTTGGTGTCAGGTTTCCCAAGCAATGTTACATGTACCTGTTAGATCTACTGGGCAAAAAAGTAGATAATCCTGTAGTAAAAATTTTCCAGCAGAGGTTCCCGTATTATGATATAATACCTGATCCTGTTCGTGGTACAGTGGTCTTCCAGCATGATCCGTAAGTTTATACAAAAATTATCTTGCTGCAATGGCTTAGTTATATTTAATAATTGGCATATAAGCTAACAATTTGTTTGTATTATTTAAAGACGTTATTTACTGACTTTAAATCTATTGGATTGGCAAATAAGTTCTTTTGGTTTTTCAGGGTGAAATAAAACTTATTATATTATAGACATAACATTTATTTTAATCTACAATATATTGACCATTATTTAATATGACTTTTTTCCATCTTTCCACTAATTGCTTAATGGCATGTTCATAGAATGTCTGGAGTTTATTGTTAAAAAATTGATCCAAGTGGTCTTCTATAATCAAAGCTGATGAATAAGTATTTTGTAGTAAAACTAATTCCTAATACCTTTAATATTATTCAAGTTGAATCTTGAATTTTGAAATTTTTTTAGAAGTTTCCTAAACCCTCAGCATTGCCACACTTTAAGACAGCATTCTTTCATATTATATTATGTGAATTAGGGTGTAGAGAGTTCTCTAGTTACGGTCGAATGATTTTTATATGTAAAAATGGAAATAGGTCAATAAATATCTATTGTACCCAACAAAATTTGGCATATGGATATATTTTCTTAATACAGAGTTCAATGTTAATCATTATTTTAAATTAAACTGATTGACAACCTGCTGATGCATTAAAAAAAGACCTGGAGTCAAAACTAAGAACTAAAGACTGGAGCCCTTTGAGACATCTGTGTTTTTTTTTTTTTTTTTTTTTAGAAGCAAGTAACTTCTTTCTATCAATTACACCTATACCAAAAATTAAAAAAAATACTGAAGATCCAGATAGGCCATATTTGATTTTGTTTGGTTTTCAGAGAAACACAGTTTAATGTTGAGGAACTGGTTGCTATGATGTTGAAGAAAGCACAGGAAATGGCCATTAACGCTGCGGGCAATGCTGTTAATGAAGCAGTTATCACAGTTCCTGGTTATTTCAACCAGGCCGAGAGGAAAGCGATGCTTCAAGCAGCTGATCTTGCTGGCATTAAAGTATTACAGCTTATCAATGATTATACTGCAGGTACATTAATTTATTAGCTATAGTAAAGTTATCAATCCTCTACTTATTTAATATTATGGACTTTATTCCTAAAAATTATTTTTTTTATTAAGTTAAGTTTAGATGAACTTAAAATAGTGTTTCGTGCTAACAATATCAATCGGCATGTAGAAGAAAGAAGACATAGTCATCTTCACTTAATAAGGACATAGCAGTACAAAATTTTACTTCTTTATTAGCAGACAAATCATCAGATATTTAAAATAAAAAAAGCTAATTATTCCTTTTTACCACAGGACTAAAAGAATCGTGAAACAGAATAATAGAACTTTTTCATTACTCATCCTTCTAAGGGTAATCACATAGTGGAGTGACGAATACAAACACATACATTTCAATAGAACACTGCATAGTGAGAATAAGAGCAACGCGACTATGAGCGCTGCTAAGATGTATAAAAGTGACCACATAATAGAGCGGTGATACTAGCTACGAAAACAAACAAGTGCATTTCAATAGAACGTAGTGGGGATATGAGCAGCATGACTATGAGCGCTGCTGCTACTAGGGAAAAGAGCGAAGAAATCAAACATACTTGATTTCGTCGCTATGCTTTCTGCTGTTTTTTTTTTTCCCAAAATGGATGTTTAGCTGCTTATTACTGAAGTGTTTGATTACTACTGCAAATGCTATAACTGTTGCAACAATATAAGAAAATAATTTTCAAAATTTTAATTTTTAAAACTATTATTTCTCAAAGGTGTTTTTGTCAGTATGCCACATCTTCGTCAATCGTTCATAAAATTAGCTCATATTTTGAAGTTTTTCTTCTCCTTCAGATGGAAAAAATTTTCACATCCTTCCAAATTTTAAGAAGAAAAGTGGTAAAAGAAACGAAACACTATTTCCAAATAACTCAAAAAGTATATATTCCTTTTTTATTGTGCCCATGATTATTTGAAAGATTACTAAATTACCAACAAAACAAAATTATTAGCTGAGATACATGTTTTTAACGTTCTAGAATTTATTGGCTTGATTCAATGTAATTAATTTAGATATTTCAAATTCCTGTTTATAGATTGCATGTCATGGCCTGCATTTGTGATATGAAAATTATCCTTGAATTAAAATTAACCACACATTCTTCTGCTGAACATTTTTTTGTTGTTTTTAATTACAATTATATAATAAATAAGTAGTACATCATTGCCAGAAATCTTGTAAATTGCAGAATAAATTATACATTTCACAAGAACTTAACAATTCTTGATGTCTATGTCAAAATTTTTAAAACAATTTGTCATGTCTCGATCTGTCGACTAACCAGTGTCATCTTTGAAACGTCTTACTATATTTTAATGACTATTATGAAAGTTTTAGTACAGATTTGAGGATTGAAATTGCAATTGGTCACTCTCCGTAAAATTAACTTTCTTTTGACACCTCATTTGTCGAAATCCATCTCTCCTAAGATCTGAAAAAGAGATCTATTCTACTAAAGTATCCATATAATACATCTACTATATATAAGTAAATCAGAATTAAATAGTGTGTTAATCTATTAAAATGATATATTATGATACCAGTAGGAATTAACTTTTTATTATTATGCTTATTTTATTTCATAACGGTTAATTATATTTATTTTGATTCCACTATCATTTTTAATTCCACAGTTGCATTAAACTATGGTATATTCCGGCGAAAGGACTTCAATGAAAGTGCTCAGTACATCATGCTGTATGACATGGGTGCTTCTAGTACTACTGCCACTATAGTAAGTTACCAAGTGGTCAAAATAAAAGAGAAAGGATATGTTGAATCCCACCCTCAACTGTCAGTTCTTGGTGTTGGGTAAGTTATGAGCGTTTAATTATTTATAACCATTGAAGTTATATTATAATATTTTTGTAGTTGCTCTAAATATTTTTGCAATTTTTAGCTACTTGGCTAAACAATATCATGCTGAGTGTGTTGTTCATTTTCAGATATGACAGAACGCTGGGCGGACTTGAAATGCAGCTTCGTCTCCGTGATTATTTAGGCAAAAAGTTTAATGGTATGAAGAAAACGCCAAATGATGTTTTTAAGAATCCAAGGGCGCTGGCCAAACTATTCAAGGAGGCGGGTCGTCTCAAAAATGTGTTGAGTGCTAATGCAGATCATTATGCACAGGTAATTACAATTTTACGATAGAATTATTTGTTTAAATAGTTTGAGTGATTGTTTAAGTTGTTAAAAAAAAAATCTGGTGCGCACAACACAAAACTTTCAATTACCGCTCATTTTGAATAGAAATTATTATAATATTATTATTGAATTGCATTTTTAACTGAGCTAAAGTTAAAAAATTATAGCTAACAAATCATAAATACCATTAAAATAACAAAACTTCTATTTATTATATCACTTGTTGATTATGGATTGTACCATCCGTTAATTATGGATTGCACAATCCGTTGATTATGGATTCTATGACTATTAGTTATTAACTGTTATTTTTCATTGCAAAGTTTACTAAAACGGAATTAAGAGATTTGCATTGTCTGTCATTGACAGGTCAAAAATTGTCACACTAGTTGTAAGTGGATACTGTTGGAATATCACAAAAGAAAATTTCATCAAACTATTCACTAATTTCGTTTTCTAAAAGGTAACATGATGATTTTTCAGAATAAACTAACAATAGATACCTAAATATTTAAATATAATATCAGATCTAGAATTATTAAACTGCAGTAAATCTATTTAAGGTTATAAACATAAGCTTTATACATCCATGAAATGATTTTATATTTTACTTCTTCTTTCACATAAGTACAATGGAAAAGTTTTTAAAACAATGTCATTGCCTTGATCAGGTGGATTTTAAATACTTTCTACAAACTAAAAATATTTTAAAAGTTTACATTTAGTTAGTAAATTTCATTTAATTTTCTTGAAAACATGTTGTTTATGTTAAATATTATTAGTTTTCAAAAATTATTATTTATAATTTTTTTGCCACTCTCCGTTACCTTCTACAACTTTCTATAATAAATATTGTTTTTTCTAAAATTCTCTGCTTTCCAACAATATGTTATACGTATATCTTCTGACTAGTATTTTGGGAGATTCATTTTCGACCTGGATAAGCATTTTTATTTTATTTTTTCCTTTATTCAATTGTCAAATTCTTTCAAAAGTTATATTTAGCATTTTCTTTTAACTCTTAATAATGAGAGATAGTTAATTATTTAAAATAAACCATATTAACCGTACTTTAGAGGAAGAGGCATATGAACATTGGGCATTTAAGTCCTGTAAAGTGACATCAACGGGGATAAGACCTAAATGATATTAAAGATCACTTAATTATACAATGATACACAGAGTTTAATCAAAATCATTAAAGCTGTTTTTGAGAAAATTGTAAAAATGTGTTTCAGTGTTGATATAAAGTGGCACTTCGGGTTAGCCGATTTTAAGGAAAAAGTTGCTGTCACATCTAAGGCATATACGTATAAGGCATCTTAAATACGTAATATCAGTTTTGTACAACTTTTCATTTTTGAGCTAGACTGCTAATATACACACACAGACCATTTTTCTGGACTTGATTATTTGGACTCAGGGTATCCCAAAACGTGTATTTCCATTGAAAACTCGGATTAAAAAATTTTTACAATCGCAATACTTACCCTTACATATATTACATATATACGTAAGTGAAAGTAAAAAAAAAAAAGCACCTACATACAAATATTATTTTTCAGGTAGAGGGTTTGTTGGACGAGAAGGATTTTAAGCTGCAAGTTACTCGTGAAGAATTTGAAAAACTTTGCTCTGATTTATTTGATAGAGTGAAGAATCCTGTATTAACTGCTTTGAAGGCCTCTAGTTTATCCATGGATATAATCAGTCAGGTAACATTACCCAGCTGTTATTTCATAGTTATATGTATATTGTAATAGTATAATGTCTTTTATTTAGGAGCCAAATATAATAATAAGTCTTTCAGGCAGTTTTAATTAATGACAGTAACATATAAATTAAACAGTTTATTAATTATTATTATCAATGGACTAAAATTTAGATTATACTTTTAATAATCTCATCCTTACCAGAAGCCTTCTATTTAATAAAAATATTATTACTTTTGACGCTTTCATTATTATTAAAAATGTAAAAAGTTTTTTATAATATTATTGTATGTGCCCAAGAGATCTCATGGTTATTCTCCTTTATTTATCTTTTCATTACGTTTTTATTTTACCATAGACTATAATAAATAGGTATATTTTAACAATTCCATGTCACTTAAGAGGCTGTTGTTAGAAATTGGGTAATGGGCTATGGGGATAATCATAACTGTGTGTTATATCTAAAGTGGTAAATTTTGGGACTTCAAAACACAAAATCTGGTAGATTCCATCGAAACTTCCAAATCGGTTTTGATCTCCATGTTCAATTCTTCAAAATTTTAAATTACTGGGGAGTTTTACTAGCTTGATTGCTTTCAATATTCCACATTGGTTAATGTTAATGTTTTTGTTCTGTTCCTGTGGATCATAGTGTGGAAGCCTTAAGCCTTCCTTAATAAACCATCTTTATAACAAAAAAAAGAATGTTTTTAGTAGGTGAGGTACTTTTTAAAATTAGCGCCTTCAATCAAATAATCACTTAGTTGTATATATTAGTATAGATAATGAAATAATTTTACTTATTTGGCTTTTTAACAGGTGATCCTCGTTGGTGCTGGTACCAGAGTTCCAATGGTCCAAGAAAAACTCTTAGCTGTCGTTGGTTCTGAATTAGGAAAGAACTTGAACACTGATGAATCTGCAGTTTTAGGAGCTGTGTATAAAGCAGCTGATCTCTCAGCTGGTTTTAAGGTGAAGAAGTTTATTACTAAAGACGGAGTTCTCTTTCCAATCCAGGTAGGTAACAATTTAATAGGAATTTTGATAATAGAATGATTTTTTTCACATCCTATAAGTGATATATCAACAGACACACTGCAAAACTCTGTAAGGAAAAGTTTCTTGGAAAATGAGGTTTGAAGTTTAGAGCTTTTCTAGTCAATTTTGTCCTGTCGCATATTCTTACCCCACAGAATGAAGTCAATAATGTTTCATTTCTTATCTATGGCGTTTCCTAAAAACCTGTAATTTAAAAACCAGTAAATTGTGATATAAAAAACTGTAAGTTACAGTGAAAGTTATAAAGATTGTGACATTACCAAAAAAGCGTAATGAAAGAATGTATAAAGTGTTTGTGCATAAACTACAGTATTAAGAATGATTATTGGCTTGCCTTCCGTTTAACCGTATAATTATCACCAGAGATCGAGTGTAATTCATAAGCCGTTTTAAGAAAACACTGGGGAGTTTAAATTACCCGAGTTTACTATAGACCTTAATATCATTTGGACTCCTGTTTATAATTAATTATTTATCAAATTATGGATTTTGAGAGGTAGTTTAATGTCCGTATTAAGTACCTTGGAGGCAAGTCAGATTCAAAATTAATTGATGATAGATCCCTACTAAGTTGACTCAATTTTCTTTTCTTTTCAAAGATTAACTATATTAATGGAACTAAAGAAAATCAGTTTCTTTTTTTTTCTGTAACAGCAGTAATTTATTTGCTGTACCGAACGTAAAAGGGGTACCATCCCTCCTGATATCCGACATGTTCAATCAGTTTCCTCATTTAAATCTCTCCTTTTTAACCACTTACTCCTTTCCCAACCCGATTGATCATGAAATGTAGATAAGAGAACTTTTTGAAGTTCCCCCAGAAATTATTTTCTTTACTTATGCTATTTTATTTTCCCACGTTTGTATTATACATATCAGTATGTTTTATTTTTTGTTTTATTCTTTTTCCAAAATCTTAATCTTAATAAGAATTGTAAATAATTAATTTTATATATGGCCACACAGGCATTTATTCTGTATCTGTAATTTGTCCTAAAGGGACAACAGTCCCAGAATAATAAAAAAATATTTTCATTTCATTTCATCCTTGTATTATTTTTTTAAATTTCCAATAAGTGGTGGGCACTTCCGGGGAGGCGCCTTTGGGCATATTCCTGGTTGGCCCTGCCCTAAGGCCGGCACTGCTTACCATAAAACTTAATGAAGCAAAAAAGAGTATGATAAGTGTGATTATAATATTGAACGGCCTTCAATACAATTGATACCTCTTGGCAACTGCAAAATGAGCTTGACTGGTAAAAAGCTATGTCGCCAAATTTTAAATAGTGAGAGACAGAGAATTGATTTCATTAATTGGAAAATTTAACACGAGATGAAAAAAGAACTCTAGTTTCATTGTAGACGAATCTTTTCAAACCAATGAATCTTCGAAATTGCAAGAAGCTCAGAAACAAAGTTATCTACACACCAGCAGATTATCTAGAACTTATCAAAAAATTGTGAATCAAACCATGACCATATGAAGTATATTGATATCGAAACTTTCATGGACTACTCCTAAATCGCCTGTATGCTCACCATTCGAGCCTCTCCTGCAGTGGAGGACAAAAAAGTGAATAACCCGTGTGATCAAATACTCGCTTTCTAGTCAAATGTTATACAAATTTTCATTTAAAGTATTGTTTCTCTACATTTTGGGAATTGACCGTTCCTTTCATGATTTGATCATTATTAAGTTAAGGATGCTTCTACAATAAATTTGATTGCTTTGAGTTAGAAGTAAATTATGAAAATGGCTCTAAAAGATTATTTGGCAGAAAAAAGTTAAATAAAGTATTTCATGTTTGTCTTATGCGTGCAAATAAAAAAAAAATAATTGAACTGAAAATATATGTTCATAGAACAAAAATTATGCAGTTTTTTCCTTCTGATTTTTTTTAGTTTTTTGTTCTTACAGGCTTCTGCAGTGTGTCTATCTATATGACATAAAAATATATATATATATATATATATATATATATATATATATATATATATATTATATATATATATATATATATATATATATATATATATATATATATATTTTCATATATATTAGATAGAGTTCAACTTTTGATCTGTCGCAGACCATCTGTACATATTTTGTAGTTTTACTAGTTTAAATGTGTATGTGTGATTAAAATTTTTTATTTTTTATTATAATTTAAACATTATTCATCTATTAACTTTAATTATTCTTCATTTAGTTAAAACATTCATTTTAATTTAAATAATCTACAAATCAAAATCAAATGATCAATGATATTTTTATGTATTTTTGTAGGTAACATTTGAACGTGACACAGATTCAGGTACTAAACTGGTGAAAAGAACACTTTTTGGCTCAATGAATCCATACCCACAGAAAAAAATCTTAACTTTTAATAAATATTTAACAGACTTTGAGTTTAGTGTTGGGTACGCTGAGCTTGATCTTCTGGAACCTTCAGAAATTGAGTAAGTAATTTGATTTAATAAAAATTTAAATTATGTATTATTAAATGATTATTATTTATGTTGTTTTATCATTGTTATAATTTTTTGAAAATTTTATTATTTCAAGATATTTATGAATAGAAATAAAAATGTGATAAAGTGTTAGGATATTTGTGTATTCAAGGACTACTTACAAAAGTGTGAACTTTCTCATCTGAAAAAATAAATGAAACCGCAATTTGTCCCTAGATGATTCGTACTCACTTCGGTGGTACATATACTAAAAATGAAATGATACATTCCATAGACGGTTCTAGTTGTTGATGCGATTACCATTAAACCACATTATTGGCACCATTTTGTTTCTTCGACTGCTGTAAAAATTTTCAAGTTTCATACAAAAGCATCGCTTTTATAGTGTTAAACATGTCTAGTTTTGTGCTTGTAAATTAATGTTTGCTGACAGCATTAGTTTTTTGTTACCGTTAAAAGAAAACTGCTATAGAATCTCTTCAATGTTTGTCAATGTTGCCATTTGGGGGCAGTGCGTTCACTTTTTTTGTAGCAAATTAACATTGGCTTTTTTTTTAATAAATAGTTACAAGGAACACAACGATATGCAATTTAAAGGGATATGGAGAAGGTGGGAGGGTGCACGGTATGGGGGTCTGGCCCACCGTGGATTCGTATAATGTTATCAGACAAGTCTAACCTGATATATTTATGATCTTAGGATGTTTCTTCATCAGATACATGGCAGTTTACCACTCTTGACCAAATTTTAAATTAAGGCAAGGCAAATAACTCTCATGAGTTCTTAATAGGCAACGTTCTAGTTATTTATGCAGTGGACTGTATTTTAATGGATTGGTAGGTTATACGAATTGTGCAAGAACAGCTTACCATTTTTATGCCAGCTTAAGACATTTGTTACCTGAGGGCCCTCAAGTGCAGGTGTTGTCTCCGTGGATACTAGTGCTGGAATGTGCTGAGTGAACCGACGCTGGTATGAATTGTTATCTTTTAGATCATCTGATCTGCCCCCGCCACTCGCCATAATGAGCAAATTTGGAACTATCTTCGCACATAAAGTGTTTGTCTTTGATTATATTTATGATCACTGATCTTAATCTATTACATAAGGTAGGTTTTTTGCCCCTATTGAGGATATCTAAATTATTATTAATAATATAATCTAAAAGAATCTCACCTATCAGATCATTATCACTGCTGAGCCATAAAATGTTGTGGGCATTGGCATCCAGTCCCATCAGAGTGTTTCCTTTTGTGGACTTGATTATAAGGTCCATTTCTTGGGCAGGGTCTCCAGACTCATAGGGCAGATCTAAAGGTTTGTATCAGTCGAGCCTGCAGATAGGCTCGTTCCTTGTATGGATTTTGGAGGTAGGGCAACAGCACCAGCCTCAGCTGTGGTCGCCATCTTCATCTCCATTCATTTATAACATACCTGTAGCCTCTTAACTTCAGCAGTGAGAGACTTGTCTCCGTGTCTCCCATTGATGTTTCATCGAGGGTTATGTCCAAGGAAGCCCCTGAAAAGTTTAGACATTGAAGTTCGAAGAAAATGAATCCTCATCGGAGTTTGTTTTTTTATTATTTATTTTTTTTTTTGTTAAATTCCTCTATCTTATTCCCATGTTGTTGGGAGGAAATTACTGCCCCCTCTACCTATAGACATTAACTTACAATGGGGTGTCATCTGGTGCCTGAAGTGGGTCGAGAAAACACTGATTTAATATTTTTAAACTAAAATTTTAATGTTTTCGTGAAATCACTTTGTTTTTTTACACTTGAAAGATGAATTATCAAGCAAAGTTTTGTTTTTAATATAACTTTTTATTCTGATATTTGGTTATCATTGTTTTGTGGACTGGAAGTTAGTTGGGGGTTACAGTCTGTGAGCTGTGAGAAACAATAAAAATTAAAAATAATTATTTTACTCTGTGCTTAGAGTTTATCCCCAGAGCAGGGGAAAGACATGATACCTACCACTAAATTATAAAACAACTAGTGTAAAATTATATGAGAACGAAGTATGTTCTGCTAATAATATTATCTGCTATTAGATAAATTCTAAGAAGTAAATACAAAATTACCATATATAAGTATTGTATGTAACAATAAGGTATGATAAAATAATTAAAATATAATGATAAGTAGTATATTTTTCAAATTTAATATAATAGGATAATGGGTTGTGTGACATATGAGAATTTTTTAATAATAAATTATACTAGTATATGTGTATAGTGAACAATGAAATTAATAACTGCTGAATGGAAAATATGAGATATATAAAAATTTTATATTAGGAAGTTATAAAATTACATTTAAAAGTAATCAAATGGAATATTAAGTAATGTAGATAAATCAAAGAAATAAATAGCAAATATAATAAATAAGATGTGGTAATTGTTATATGTTAATTATAGAATAATAATAATTATATAAAGCAGTAAAATAGGTGATAACAAGATATGGTGATATCAATAGAAACACTATATTATTTGTATTTCTCACAGACTGTTGTAAACCCCAATTAACTTCTCAACCACATTATCTACAGTCGACCATTTCTTCATAATAATTTTTATATCTTTGATATTTAGCTCAACAGAGAACAGGGAAAAAATTAATTGTAAAGCTACATATTAGTGTTATTTGAACTGTTATGCTGTTTTCTTAAAATTAGACACACATTTCATTTATTATAGTTATTTTATTTATTTTTTGTAAGGAATATTGGCCCTCTCAACCTGACTAAAGTGTCCCTGAGTGGTGTAGCAGATGCGATAGCGAAGCACCAAGGTCCCAGCAATGAGATAAAGGGAGTCAAAGCCCATTTTTTTATGGATGAAAGTGGAATTCTGAAGCTGTCGAATGTTGAACTTGTGGTAGAAAAAATTGTTCCTGAGGGTGATGCTGCTGCTGAAGAATCACCATTATCAAAGTTGGGAAATACCATCAGCAAACTTTTTACCAGTTAGTATCTGTCCCATACTAATTTTACTTACACCTATAATGATAAATATATATATTCATTATTAAATATTATTTGGATAGTAGTATCAAATTCTTATTATTCTACTTGAAATATATTCAGAAGTGTACGAATGTTAATCGTAAATAAAACATAAAACCTGAAACTAAACTTCCTCTGATCTGACATTCTATAGTCAGCATGTTTGATAATCCAGCAAAACTAAAAAAAAAAAAAGTTGATAGCAAAACATCAATCTTGCCTTTACATTTGTTGGTATTTGAACAGCTGAGGGAAAAACAGTAATGGAATAAATGTATTAGCATGTGTGGAGGGGAGGCCAGTTGTCAAATTTAAGAAGATTCATAGCCGTTTTCGTATTAAATTTTCCATAAGTCTATTGTGCTATTTTAGTTTTTACAGGTATTTTGTATTCTTATATGTCTTTATTCTTCTGAAGTTATATATATAACAATTAAACATAAAATATGAAAACATATTTCACTATCGTGATTCATTAAATTTACATTTTACTCATATTCATCGGAATATGAGCAAAATTTGGCTATTCAGTTTCAATATGTAATTCATCTACTTTGGTGTGTGGTATATTGAGTGTGTGATAATTTATTGTGGTATAAATTTGAAATTCTGCAAGTCATAATACATTAAAATTAGAGGTTTAGTGGTGGGGATGACCCAATACCCACTTCCCATTCATAGCCCAGTTGTCAGCTCGTGCCAGATCTTCATGCGGTACATATCTCCTAGTTTTCATTCAGCCATAGGGTGAGATAAACACCATTTGAAGACCAATTTTCTGCTGAATCAGACATTACAATTCAGAGCTCTTACTGAAGAAAACGGCTCAAGAATCCATATAAGAAAAACAATCAGTATTTTATTTTTATTTATTAAATTATTCATTATTTCTTTTCAATTTTAAATATATGATTTATGTACCAATGTCGATTATTGGATCCTAGAGTATTCAGAGTAACTGAGCCATTAAGCCTACAGTACCTTGAATCAAAATTATTATTATTTTTAACATAGAATATTTGGTGCTCGGAAAAGAAAAAGAAATTTCCTAATTTTTAAAAATATTAGAACATTTGACGAGCCCTAAATAGGGACAGAATTATTAAAATAAAATCATTTTAAAATATTAAAACAATATATATACGCATGTAGATGTTTCCATGTAGAAAGTCAGTTTTAAGTCAAAAGTAATTGGGTATTTGGTCCATTGTAAAGAGGCCTCTAATTCTCAAGATAACAGACTCTTTTAGTCACCATTTCTGCCTTTCATAAATGGCGACTAAAATAATTATGTCATGGGTAAATTGTAACCCTTTTCAGTATAGGTTCCAACATACTGTAATCTGGTATGACTAAATCTTCCCCTCAATCCTTTCAATCTTGAACTGTTTAGGTGAAGAAGCACCCAAAGAAGAACCAGCAAAAGAGACACCAAAGGAAACATTGGAAGATAAACCTGAAGAGAAGGAAGAAGCAAAAGAAGGTGAAAAGAAAGATGAGAAATCTGGTGAAACTAATAAAACCTCAGAATCTGGAGAAAAAGACGATACTAAGAAACCAACCAAGGAAGGAGAAAAGGAAGACCTCAAAAAGCCGAAAGCTGTTGTACTGAAAGAAAATATTGCGTCTAAAGAAGTGCCATTGTTTGTCCCACAGCTTGGTGGTGAGCAGCTGGAGCATTCGCAAGCAAAGTAAGCTCATTATTTCTCTCTTGCTATTAGAAAATTGAATTATTAATTAATTGAATTAGCAATTGAACTATATTATTCAACTAAGTAAAAGGTATGATAATTTAGACAAATTTCAGTTTCCTGGATTAACTCTTACTCAAACTTATTTATTTATTATTAGTAAGAACAAATTGTTAGTGTGAAAACATTTTATACAAAATTTTAAAAATTGTTTGTTCAAAACAGGTTAGCGAAACTTAATGCCAATGATGAAGAACGCCATCAGCGAGAAAGTACACTTAATGCTCTTGAGAGCTTTGTTTTTGAAACACAAAACAGGCTTGAAACTGATGAATATTCTTCTGCAGTGTCTTCTGAAGAGAAACAAAAAATATTAGAAGCCGTCTCTAAGGTTATTATTATTATTATTTATTCTTTTTTTTTTTTGTGACAATTTAATTGATCCATTTAGCTCTGGTATAATATTTTCAATGTGAAATAAAAATTACTATTTAAAGATATGAGTTCACTCAAATATTGAATTTATTGAATAATTAGCATATTGAAGTAAATATTCTTATGAATTAAGGGAAAGAATTATTTACATTGCGTCAAAATATTAGTTAATTTTATTGCTAAATTTAGGTTTCGTTTATTTAGCACAATTTTTAAATATATTTTAATATCATTTATTGATAGTTTTAAAAAATAAATAATTATCAGTTTATGTGGCATTATAAGTGGGTACTCTTAATTAAATAAGTAATTAAGAGGAAAAACTGACAGTTGCGCATGATATCGGCCAAAGTCAAGTCTGTACCGCCTAAGCTAATATACCAATTTCAATGAAACTTGCCTAAACTATTAACGGAGTTATGGCTATTCAATTTCCAATGTAAGATTACATTTTCATATCCTGGTGTCAGAAAGGGGTGAATGAGAGAATAAAGATGACTAAGTGAATGTAAGAAAATCTGTTGCCCGCTTCACACAATCTTCACTATTTCCTCTACATTTAACAGAAATTAATTACCTTAAGCCGGTTTACATTGCTTTAGTTTATCAAATAAATCGTACTCAAATCTCATGTTAGATCAATTTTCAGGAAAATGTATCTAGTTCAGTTCTTTTTTGTTTCTTCATGTACATATGTAAAGATATAAAAACTTTTCTGAAATAGGTAGGAAAGTCGTGTGAGTGGACACGCCAGATTTTTTTATATGTGGCATTATCATATTGTCAACTAATTTAACTTTATTTTTAACATGAAGTGTTTTTATATTGTATATTTTACTTTTAAAATTTCTAATGAATAATAATGAGTTTATCACAGTCACATTTCATATGGAGTCACATTATACGTACTATTGAATTTGTTAATTATGTTCTAGTTGTATTGTGAATTTAACTTATCTTCTTGTTAAACAGGTTGCTGAATGGTTGGATGAGGAATCTATGGATTCTAATGCTGATACCCTTTCTGAAAAGTTAAAAGGTTTGAGGAAGTTAACAGAGAACTGGTTCATGAGGGTCGGTGAACACAGGGAGCGGCCTGATGCCCTAAAAGCTCTGAAGACCATGATCAATGGTAGCACCAACTTCCTATTGACTATCAAAAATATTTCATTACAGCAGCCAGATACGCCACAGGCTTCAATATTCACTGCGGTGGAATTGGAAACTTTGGAGAAAACTATAAAGGACACTAATGTGAGTAGTTGTTATGGTTGTGTACTACTATAAATTATCTTCTGTTTCAGCTGGTTAAATCTCTGAGATTTTTTTTAGAAATAGTACAATAATTATACACTCTCAAAAAAAATTAAAGCGTCATGTTGTTTTTAAGTTCTAATTTGATTGTTAAACTGACTTTCAATTCAATGTTGTTGCAGAAAGTAAACAAAGGTGTTAGCTAATAATTTAAACTGTCTATTTATTTATTTACATGGGAATATTCTTAGTAATACTCATTTCTAACTCAAACAGTAACAAACCCAAAAAAGATGTAGTTCACTTTCTTCATTCAAATCATGATTATCAATCAATTTTTATTATTATAAAAATGGTCATTATTATAAAACAATATTATAAATAGCTTCATCCCATCGTAACCTACAAATATTATTTATGACAATTCTCGGAATTGGAACGTTTTCGATCTGGAGATCGGCAAACTTTGTATATTTAATTAGGTACTAAAAACTGATGAATAACCATTTACTTTCCACTTGAATCTTAAGATGGTATGATCACAAAGTAAAAAAAAAAAGTGGCCTTTTTTTTATTTTGTGATCATACTATCTTAAGAGTCAAGTCATTGAGATGAAAAGCTATTTACAAAGTTTTAGGCGGATGTTAATAATTTGATAAAAAGGAGTCTGCACCACGGACTATAAGATCTTATGAATTACATGCCAATTTACAATATAATACCATTTATATAAATATAGAATAATATTTATAAAAGATATGTTAATATAAATTTTAGGAATGGATGGAAAAAGCTGTAACTGAGCAGAACAAATTGAAGTTATGGGATACTCCAAAACTGACCATTAAAGTGTTGTCTGACAAAATGGCTTCCTTGGATAGAGAAGTAATAATCCTTTATAGATTTTTGTTATATTTATTTTATTTTTTCTATATCAGGCACATCTGTTTAATTTTTATGAATGTTTAGGTGCAATATTTGGTAAATAAAGCCAAAATATGGAAACCGCCTCCAAAACCAGTTGAAGAAAAACCAGTGAAAGAAGGTTTGTTTATCTTTTTAGTAATAATTTTTCTTCTCTTTTTTTGCTTTCATAATTCTAAATTCCATCTTTCCACTAATTGCTTAAGGCCATGTTCATAGAATGTCTGGAGTTTATTATTAAAAAATTTATCCAAGTGGTTTTTGATGTCCTCTTCCTTTTGGAATTTCTTTCCATTCATGGAGTTCTGCAGAAACTGGAACAAGTGGTAGTCACTTGGAGCTAGGATTGGTGAATAGGGAGGGTGGGCTAAAGGTCCCATCGAAGGCTCAATAATTTATTGCGATTGACCAATGAAGTGTGGGGACTAACGTTGTCTTGGTGGAACACAACACCCTTCCGATCATTCATAACTCTTCAGGATGTTCTCCAAATTCGATGTTACTATATCCATTGGAAAGCTGAATTATGGCTCTTCAAAGCTGTATGAATGGTTTTTTTTATTTTATTTAATCCTTACATAAGGAATAAATAAATAAAAACTCCTTATCGGTTTTTATTACTTTCACTTACCTATATATATAATATATAATAAGGGAAAGTATTGCAATCGTGAAAATTTTTGAGTTTTCAACAGGAATACATGTTTTGAGGTAACCTGAGTCCAAACAACCAACAGCGTGACATCTTTTGACCTGTCTATAACAGACAATACAAATCTCTTAATTTCGTTTTAGTAAACTTTGCAATGGAAAATAACAGTAGTTGTACACAATCGGTATAATAAATAGAATTTTTCTTATTTTAATGGTATTTATGATTTCTTAGCTGTAATCTTTTAACTTTAGCTCAGTTAAAAATACAATTCAAAAATTTTATAATAGCCCAACATGGCCAGAAAATAATTTCTATTCAAAGTTGAGCTGTTAGTGAAAGTTGTGTGTTGCGAGGAACCAGATTTTTTTTTAGTTTGTTTACAAAGGTCCTGTTGATGTCATTTTGTGTAGTTTATGTGGTCCTAAGGTTTTGCTAAATTTCTTGTAGATAGCGAAAGTCGAATTGAAGTTATAACATTTTTTGTGATTTTTGAAAAAAAAAAATCATGTGAGGCATCTAAACATTATTAAGCTTGGAAACATAGCTCAGCTTGTGCAAATGGTTCTCTACGCTTGTGTGCGACACATTTAGGGCCATAGCAATCTCTCACTCTGATTGGATTTTGATCAACAATGGCCTTGACATTGCTCGTTTCAATTTCATGTGGGCGACCAGACCGTTAAGCATCATTGATGTCAAAATTTCTTGAATGAAATTTGGCAAATTGATTTTGACAGGTGCGTTCGGTTAAGGCATCATCCCCATGAACACTGCAAATTTTATTTTTCTATGACCTACAGCATGCTTACCTTTTTTAAAATAATACAACAAAATAATAAATGATATTTTCTTCCTTATTCACAGTGCAGTAGCGAGCACAATACTAAGCTAGTTTTTTTTTAGTTTGCTTTTTTCAGAATTGATTTAATTTTTCTTTTATAATTTTGTTTCTTTTTGTAAATTTAATCCTATTATTTTAATTATTATTTGATTAAAGAACCTCCATCCCCTGCTGATGCTGGTAAAACTGAGACTAAGAATGCAGAGAAAATCTTGCCCTCTGCAGAGTCAGAAAATGTCACTGAATCAGAAGGAACCAAAACTGATAGTGAGTCAGCGAAAGCAGAAGTGCATCCTAAAGATGAGAACAAAACAGAGGACAAAGCCAATGTACCTCCTTCAGAACCAGGTATAGTGACTTGCTTATTACTTATTTACTTTTCTTTATTATTATTCTATTGTCATTGAACTTTTGCGATGCCGTAGTATGTTTTCTTGGCAATTATCCACCTTATTCAACGCATGGAAAAAAAAAAAAATTAATTTACCATTTTTCAACTTCGTTTTACCATTTCATTTTTATACACTAAAACTTATTTGGAAATGAAAGTTCAAAACAATGTATAATAATTATGCAATTTATCAAAGATTACATATTTTTCCATTGTTTAGTACTAACTCTCGGTTAGTCATTCTTGAGCTGAAAAGTGGGTTTCTCTCACTCTTCCAAGTTTTAAATTAATCCTTCTAAAGATACTTTATTTTTTTCATATATTCTTCCATTTTAGTGATTTTGGCATAACCTATATTAACAATTGATGTAGTTTTGCTATAGTTAGTCAAGTTTAATAATATGCAAGAAACATAATATGAATTTCCAAACAAATCTAAGCTTAAAATTGTTAAATAATTAATTAGATATCCTCAAATTTAACCGCATTTGATAATCACTGATTAAAAGAATGTAATGGTTTTGACTTTGTTGTAAAACATCATTGTTGATTAACAAAATGGTAGTTTATAATAACTGTATTTTCTTACTTCATTTACTTATTTTAGAACTCGTGAATAATGGAATCAATTAGTGTTATTTTAATAATAAACCATGAAAATGGCCCAGATGATAATGTTTAATTTGACTATTTCACTCCACATAACTATTCACCGTGTCATTTCAAAATGTCACCTAAAGGTTTCATACACACTCTGTGGCTTTTCCTAAAATTGCAGAGCTGATTTTTTTTTTTTTGCATAAAATTCTCAAATAACTTCAGGTTGAACCTTTGATAATAACTTCACGTTATCATCCACCATTTTGCTTTAAAGAATCCTGTTGTCCATTTATGGTGATGGAGAAAAATATGAAGTGACTTAAATCATTACACCAAAGAATAAAAAATATATATTGTTAACATTATCTATTTGGAAATAATAATAATAATAATTGAATATTTAATAGTTGACTGTTGCATTATAAAAGAAGGAGATGGTCCCGGGTGGCGGTCATAAATAGACTAAAGAGTGGTAAAACTATTTTATTAAAAGCCAACGACTTTGCAGATCTTCTTCAGGGCTAGAATGGACAAGATAAATGGACAAAATTAAAAATTAATTTTTTTTCTAAATATTATGTAACTTACACAATTCTCTATCTTTTTGTATCTTGTCCGTTCTAGCCCTGAAGAAGATCTGCAAAGTCGGGTCGAAACGTTGGCTTTTAATAAAATAGTTTTACCACTATTTAGCCTATTTATGACCGCCATCCCGGACCATCTTCTTCCTTTAATAATAATAATTAAGTTAAACTTCTTTATTTGGGCATAATTGTAAATTTTATAATCTTTATTGACATCAAATGTTTGAAAAATGTTGCTGGTTGGGTTTGTTTTGAAAAACTTTCATAAAAATTGATAGACACCATGTGTTTAAGCCTTCACTGATCTCTTTCAGTAGTTTTAAATTAAATATCTAATAATTTCAAATGTTTAAATTTTATCTTTATATATTCATACTTCAATTTTTAGGCCTCAATTTAAAATTAAATAATTTGTATCTGTACTGTGGGATGATTTCAGAAGCTAAAGATTTGTTTGTTGATTTGATTTAATGTCCATAAGTACTCTAACTAGGATAGGATAGTCTTAAAATATTTTTCTTATTTAAAAAGAATAAGGATGCAGTCACTGATTGTCATGAATACCTATCTCACTTACTCAATACTTATGTCATCCTGAAGGAAAATAAGAACGATACAAAATTGATGATTAGAAAAAAAAAAATGACTCAGATCTTTTGAAAATTCACAGATAAAAGATATTTTTGAACTTATTTTCCAACTGCTATTTACTAAATCATTTTAAAAGTTACTTACTATGAGACTAGGAAATCTGCAATTGTTTGTCAATGATTGATTTTTATTGATCATTGATGCTGTACCTTACATGCTTCTTGATTGATCGATTATATCTTTTTTAATTTAAAAAATAAACTTTAATTATTACCTAAATACATGGATTCAATGTTATAATAAGTTTTATAAAATAATTTAAGATTATTTCAACAATTAATAATCCTTATTGCTATTTTTCTGGTAATGAAATTGGAATTATTCAGGCTTAGATTTAATGCATGCTTTAAATGTTATGTTTCTTTGCCTTTACAAGTATTGTTTTGACTCTCTTTTGTTAAGTATTGTTTACGTTGTCTTGGTGATGGACCTATATGCTTAAAGCTTCCCTCAACTGCTTTGATACTGTTTCAGAACATAAAAAACATCCTTCTCAACCATCCATCCTGTTGTCTTCATTAGTTGTAGTCACCATACACCTACTCTTCCATTTCACTACCATTTTCTGATATATATTTTTTCTGTTATCATTCTTATTAAGATCCTTATTAGTGATAGTTCCTTACAGCTAACGGAATTTGGCCCATTTCATTCTTTGAAAACTACTTTTTTTTAAACACTATCATGACTTGGTACGTTAATTTTATTATTTTGAAATGGTAGAGGAAACTGACCATATCTTCAAACTCTTTTAAGTGGTGCGGGTTTATATCTGCACATATAAGCAGTACAACTGCCATTAATAAAGAGTCCTTAGTAGGGTTTTCATTATCTATAGTTCATCCAGCTGACTTGACTGACAGAGGGCAAACTCACATGGCACTAAGTTGACATGAACAGTGCTCTTGTGGGGTTATAGCACTTCGTATCACTTCAACTAATGTTTCATTCACTCTGTCCATATTGCAAAAATAATTGGAATTTAAGGAACGAAAAATCATCTGCATACGCTAATATAAATTAATTGTATTCAAACCATTTTGAGTGTGAAGTGCGCAAATCAAGATGATCATTGAAACTTGACATGAGAAATTTGGATATACAAGAAGTCAGTAGTACAAAAGCTGATCCCTTTGACAGAAATAACCTAAAATGAATTCTTGACTAGTAACAATATTAACTAATTATTTTCTTTAAATACTTTTTAAAAATAAATTTTTTATCTAAACACATTACGAAAATAATATAGATCTGAAAATCTTTAAGGATAAAATAGTAAATTATTTGCAATAAAGAAAGCAAACAATTTATGAATTAATAACAAGCTGGCCTTTTTTAGTAAAATAAAAATACAATTGTTCAAAACTTTCTGACAGCTGAACTTCATAAGATGCAAATGAATGAAGATGGGCAGGGACTTTTTTTTATTTATTTTTTTTTATTTGGTCTTTCCCTTCCTCGCCGTTAAGGCTATACGGGATTTTCCCGGGCCAGGGAGTGTGGGCGGGGATTTAAAAGACTTCCCCGGCACCGGGACGCGAACTCGTGACTATTTTTATATCTTTGATTCATATATCTGGTTGCCGGGCAACGGCGGTGCAGTGCACACGCTTTAGCCCATTCGGCCACCCCGCCCACAGATGGGCAGAGACTTGTAATTATGATCTTATCTTAATAATGAAGACAGAAAGCCCTTAAATAATATCAAATATAATTAAATAAACACATAAGGTCCGTCCTTATGCTCAAATGCTTGAAAGAAATTAACACTCCAATAGCGGATAGACAATCCAAGGACACATGGAGTAGCACTAGCACTCGGCCCCAATAGCTGCTGTACAGGACCAGTCAATACAATTATATATTTCTCAATGTAAATAATACAATGCGGTAATTGTTATCAGTAATTTTTATAAGAAAATTATTTCTTTTTATTTCTAAAATGTATTTTATTTTGAAAGACATTGTTTTTAATTCTTATTTTACAACTAAGTCACTTATTCACCTTATATTTTTCATTTGATCTTTAATCAAGATGTTATTATATTCTCTCACCTGCATTTGTGTCTTATTCAGTTTCCTTTTTAAGCAAAAGTGTACTATTTTAAGAATTAAAAATGTTCAAAAAAGCATTGTTAATGTATCAAGTCATGAAGTGGTTATTGAAGAGTGCTAAAATAAAAGATCATTATATTATGAATCAGTATTGTTTATTCATGTAAAATATGATATGACTTTCTAATTTTTGTTTTTATCATTGATGTGTTTATTAGAAAGTTAGTTGTTACATGTTTAGTGACTTTAGTCACATTTAGTTACCATGATATAATTAAAAACTCTTGGCAGTAGTCGTTATGAAGAGTATATGCTACTTAAAAGCATCTTTTATTTTTATATTATAATTATAGTGTTTTTGAAAAAAAAAAAATCAACATGCATGTGTTTTTATGTATTCTTTTGTGCATGTATATGTTTATGCTTCTGAAAACTATAATTAGTCAATATTGATCATAGTGAAAAAGAAGGTTTATTTATTATTTATTTCATAAATGCATCTATAATTGCAAATAAATGATATCAAAAATTTTAGTTTTCAAAATTCCTATCTTCAGCATGCAATGATACAACCAAATCTTGAAGATATTTCTGTTTTAGCTCTGTAACTGTGCATGCATTTTATATATATATATATATATATATATAATCACATGAAAAATTTAAGATTCACTTAGTAAATATACCAGTATATTTCGGTGACATTTTGTCCAGTGAAAGGAAACTAGTGACTGAATTGTACTTGCAATTGTTAACAATTAATATTTACTACATTTATATATTTTTAAAATAAAGTAATCAATATTTGAATTTATATATTTCAAGCATTAAAAGGCGTTTAGAAGAAGAAATGTGTAGGCTGAAGTGTTAAAAAGCCACGAACTATAAGTCTGAAACTTATTTCTAAAACATTTCATCTTTCTGCTCTAGAAATCACTAGTGATATTGAATCCACAATTTCACTTGCTGCTCTACTTTGAATAGAAATTATTTTCTGGCAATGTTAGCCTATTATAAAGTTTTAAAGTATATTTTTAACAGAGCTAAACCTTAAACCTTACAGCTAACCCATAATATCTCATTAAACCTATTGAAATAGCTAACTCTATTTATTACATCGATGGTAGGCAAGGAAAACCTCCATAACTCCATCTATTTTGGTAAACCAAATAACTCCATGCTCTGAGCTATATATGCCTAGAGAGATTCGGAAAGTACATCTATAAATGATTATGGATTGTACTGTTTCGTCACTCTCCATTACTTTCTAAGACTTTCTACTTTAGATATTGTTTTTTTCTAAAATTCTCAGCTATTGTTTCTGGAAATTCATTTTCGGCCAAAAATAATCATTTATGATGTAACGACATAAAGCTTTAAAAGTTTTAAAATCTCGACTTTCATAAGTTACCATAATGCCAAGGCAGAAGTGTGGTGGATTATCAATCAGGTCAAAAGAAATTCTTGGACAAAATTTATTTCTTCTATTTCGACGAAAATTGATTGGAATAAAATAAGAGCTATCAAGGGTTGACCAATTAACAAAATTCCTCAGAAACATAATTCTGAAATCTCTACATTCATGAGGATTCTTGGATAGTATTTTATTCTTTAAACAAAATTTTCTATATAATCGAAATTTTAATGTTCGGGCAAGTTCTACTTTTTCAAGCAATTATGAATAACACAATGATGTGTCACAAGAATTTGTTTCAAGCCCTGCACTCTTCAATATTGCGATTAAGGATATCAGATCATTCATACCTAAACCTGTGAATGTTGCAGTATACACTGGCGAAGTTTTGATTTATTATAACTCTAGTAAACTTTGGACAATCTGAGATAGACAAAACTCTTACAAGCCTAGAAATTTGGACCACTAGGCTTCAGGTTTAGCCTATTCGATACCTAGGAGTGACCTTGGACTCAAGATTATCATAAGAAATTATGTATCAAAACACTACAATTGTCTGAGAAATACAACTTAGTAAAAGTACTCTCCTGTTCTAGTTACGGTTGCGATAGATTTTCCTTGCTGAAGTTGTATAGGTGTCTAATAAGACAGGTGATTGATTATGGATGTGAAGTTTATTTTAAATTAATCTGTTTATTTTTTAAGCAAGCTAGATTCATTACACAATTTAATGATCTGTTGTACATCTGGAGCCTTCGGACACTATCTTCTGTTAAAGTTTTTAGGTCTCTTTGGCGAAAAACGACCATAGACTTTTTTTATTTCTCACAATACAAATTACCTACTCGACTTTCTAACTATTCACCAATTTTCAATTCTTCCGCACTATCAAAGTTATTTAAAATGACCACAAAACTCCTTGGACAAAAAACTAAATACAACTACCCAATCCATCGGGAGCTCTAAAACAATGCTTCTTGGCTCTAGTTATGAAGATTTACACATGCATTTACACCGATGGATCAAATAAATTGAAAAATGTGGGATGTTCGACAATACTGCCCTCCGAGACTATATGCTACTCTCTTCCACTTATTCTATCTTCTAATCTGAGCTCATTGCCATCTATTTATCCCTAACCATATTCATAAATGATGAAATCAATAATATTTCTAATTCTAATTTCAATTCCTAAGCTTATAACACACAACTTATTAAAAAAAAATAAAAAAAAATTTCTCTGGAACCCAAGCCATGTTTATATAAAAGGAAATGAACTTGCAGATATTGCAACAAAAGAAGCATGCACGTTATTTCTAGTACCTGAAATTAACACAGTGCTGAATGAAACAATAAAGCAGTTCAGAACCTATGTATAGAAACTTGGTGTTACTCTTGGACCAAGGTTCCAAGCACCAATAAAATGAAGATCATCTCTGTTGACACTTTTTCACTCCCACAGATCAGATAAAGGAAAGCCCAAGGATCAAACTATACATGCCTCAGAATAGGGAACGCTAGGCTCACTCATGGTCACCTCCTGGATGGGAATTCTTTTCCAAGATGTCGCAACTGCAACATACTTTTAACTACTCGTATCACCTCCGGTAATATCGGCAAGTCCTGCAATCAGAAAACTTGAAAAAATTGTTCTGATTTCTTAAACAACACAACTCTTATCTACACACCTACCAAGCACATCAGAACTAACCTATGCAGTTGTAACAACTGATTATTTATATAGTCATATCTTAACAACACAATCTCACCTGAAACAGCGCAATCTTTTATAGACATTTTTTATTGAAATGAACCTGCAACTGAATAAGGTTCCTCTAACCTATGTAGTTGCACATAGCACATAAATACAACAAAACAAATATATATTTTTCAACAATTATAAGTACAACTGAATCACTAGTTTTCTTTTACTTAATTTAGTTAAATCTCATTAAATAATGTTTTGTTATTGTTAATAATTTTATTGCTTACTAGTAATTTTCTATAAGGTTATTTTTATTTTATTTATTCATTGTAAGGCATAAATAGGAGAACAATATATAGTAGAGCCAAGTTAAGGCGAATGAAAGGCCCTTTGAAATTGATAATAAATATATTTTTCAAAATCAAAAGGACTCTTCGAAGTATAAATTGATTATGGTTACTAGTATTTTTTTATTCGTATTAGGGAGTATATTAAAATATACCCTAAATATAGGTTACCACATTAAAAATGTGGTGTGATATTAATATGTATATCTTAAGAGCGATATCTGAATGAAAGTAATAGTTTTCAGTTCATATTTTGCTCATATAGTATAATATCTCTCAATTAATTGTTTAATAACACCTAATCCTCATGTTTTATTTGCTTTTGGATTGACAATCTTTTCGTATTTTATCAAATAGATTTATCTCTTTCTAAATATTTCAAAAATGAAGGATACAGTATATGGGAATAATATAATTTTTATTAAATTGAATAGTCATGAGAGATATGCTGAACTTAACGTACCAATTAGTTTCATACTTCATCTTTATTTAATTTTTTTACAGTTGGTGAAGAAGGAAAACATTCTGAACTCTAAAAGCTAATGTGCTAACTTTGTTCTTAAAGACAGTTGGGAAACTTTTTGTCGCTCTGTCAATTTCAAGACAAACTTTAATGTTTGAATAAATATATTTGGATGGAAATGGATATCGACCATGATGATTTATTCGTGGTGCGGATAATGGATCATTTCTTTGCATTTTATATTTGTTTTTTCCTCTTAACAAGATTTTAAGGAATATTTTTGTAGGAAATGTTTTTATAAAACATTTAATTTATTTATTTAAAACAACCAATATTTTGTTATGTACTGTTTAATTTAGGTATGCGATTTATCATTTATTATGTAAATAAAAGTTATATTTAGGGTAATTAAGGTGTTTTGTTAAAGAATATGATTAATAAAAAATGTGAAAAAAAATATTTATTTAAAAAATTTATTATACAAGCAAACTTAAGTTTTTAAAAAATATTTCTTGAATTGGTTGTAATGTATGTTGTAGAACCATCAGTGAAATATTACTGTGATATATATAATAGAACTCATTCCAGTAGCAGATAGTTTCCTTGCGAGGAACTTTTTGAATGTATTAATCGTAGTTGATAAAATTGGTTTGGTATATGATGATATTTGAAAATTGCAATTTTTTTTATATAAAAAAATAATTGATTTTATCTGTATAATGATAAAACCCCTATTCCATTCTGAATCAAAAGTTTGTTTTCTTCAAACATCTGTGGTAAAATTCACAATAAAAATAAAGATTGGTCCATTATTTTGATACTATCCTGAATACACACTAAGAAGTTTTTTGAAACTTCATTGTTTTTCTTCCATATGATTTACCTATTGCCTATTTATTTTATTTTTTACTATATATATTTTTCAGTTCTTAATCTTTTTGTTAATTTTTACATAATTAAAAAAGTCTGAAAACAAGTCTGTAAAGTTACTTTTAGTTATAATTGTAACTTAATTTATTTTATTTAAATTTAAGATATTTACTATCTAAATTGACATCTATAATATTTAAAGAGTTTAAAGGGGCCCTTACGCGGTCAATATCGAATATATAGACCATCTGAGGTCTATATTCTGACAATTATATTGACATTTTTAATAAGTGTACCATATTCAATAATATTGACTGTGTATGGTGGGCTTTACTGGTTGTAGTTCTGGAAAAAGGTGATAATTTTTGGTAATATTTGATATACTGCTTTCTTAGCGTTCAAGATAAGATAACTAATGATTGAAAGCTAAACTCTTAACAATTTTCATTTCTAAGATGGAACTATAACATACAATCACTTATTGTATTCAACCTTATGGTACACCACGAAACTATGTTCACCTGTGTAGCATTGAGTCAAATGCACTCCCTGGTTTCAATCGTAAGTTTATATGTTTGTACCTCTTGTGTGAATTGTTTGATTATTATTTTTTTAATGAAATTAATCTTCATTTATTCTAAATAGATTGAAAAGATTTGTTCTATGGTCATAGAATTTTATCTCATATTTTAATGTGAATGTATTAATATTTAATATATTTCACTGGCTAAATAAAAACATTGAATTAGCAGTATTATTATTAAATCCATTAATAAGTTTATTTATTAATGAATAAACCCATTAAAACAAAGACCTACTTTTTGTTCCTAATAAAATTATGGATTTTATGTTTTGTTTTTTTAATGTACTCATTTCCTGACGCTAACTCACATTTTTAGTATTTATTATTGTAATGTTTAATTATATTACTATCTGTTCAACTGAAATCTTGAAAAATAAAATTGTCACATACATAATAAAAGATAATAAATTTTGATTAGGAGTGATTTTTAATTTAATTAAATTAGATTTGGTGTTGTAGCTCTTATTCAGGAAACTTTTTTTTATTGAATTACTCCTGACCCATGATTTCTGGTATCGAAGAGGAGGGGAGGATCACCATCACTGTTGGAAATTGTTTCCAGAATGGAGGCTAGGATGTCAAATGCAAGGAAGACCTAGGGAAAGAATAGGGCCACCCAAATTTGGAAAACTACGATTACGCCACGTTTCGACTTATTAAAGCTTTTCAAATTTTTTCGATATAAGGGTTTATTCTTAAGTTTCCGGAGCATTAGATTTTGAAAATTACCTCCATTTTATGATTACGCCACCGCGTTTCCACTTATTTAAGTTTTTTGGATTTATTCGATATACGGGTGTATTCTTATGTCGATTACTTAAACTTTATTCTTAAAATGGAGGTAATTTTCAAAATCTACGGCTCCGCAAACCTAAGATTACACCCTTATACGGAAAAAATTTGAAAAGCTTGAATAAGTCCAAAGGCAGTGGTGTAATAGTAAAATGGAGGTCATTTCCAAAATCTACGGCTCCGGAAACACAAGAATACATCCTGACATCGAATAAATACAAAAAAACTTAAATAAGTAGAAACGCGGTGGCGTAATCATAAAATGGAGGTCATTTTCAAAATCTACGGCTCCGCAAACCTAAGATTACACCCTTATACAGAAAAAATTTGAAAAGCTTGAATAAGTCCAAAGGCAGTGGTGTAATCATAAAAAGGAGGTCAATTTTAAAAACTAGGCACACGACAGCATAATACTAGACCCTAATAAATCGGAATAGGTACAATAAAACAATACCCGTAAGTGTAACATAAAATCAATAGTATTTTGAAAAACTCTACTTAGGGGAGCATAATAATAGACCTTCATATTGTAGAGGAGGAGGAATGCCCCTTATTTAAAAAAAATCAAACATTTACAAAAAATCGAAAAATTAATTTGAATTGGAAAAGGTTTAATTTGAAATGGAAATTGTTGAATTTACTTGGAAAAAGTTTAATTTGTCTTGGAAAAGGTTGAATTTGACTTGGAAAAGGTTGAATTTGACTTAGAAAAAATTGAATACGACATGGAAATATTATACTGAAAAAGTTAAAATAAATGGATATGCAACCGCGTTATCATATTTTTTTGGTATTTTTCAAAAGCTATGGCTTCGATAATATAGTAAGTGGCCTTCATTTCGAAAAAAATCGAAAATTGAATTTGAAATGGAACAGGTTTAATTTGAATAGGAAAAGGTTGAATTTGATTTGGAAAAGGTTGAAATTGACTTGGAAATGCTATACAATGATGTGAAGAATGCTTTGAATAAGCTTAACAACAAAGCTCTAAGTGTAGACAGTATTCCAGCCAGGTTGGTGGCAAGGAGTTCATGTTCTTGAGAGCCTTCCATGATGTCATCTATCCACTTCATAAGAAAGGCAACATCCTGAAATGAACCAATTACGAGGGTATTTCGCTTCTACTGCTCAGCTATAAGGTTCTCTCTAATGCCATACATAAGAAACCTCGACCATTTGCAAATAGTGGTATTGGGAAATAACAGGCGGATTTCAGAAGAGAGAGATCTAAATTTGATCAAATGTTCAGTCTCTGGATGATATTCGATAAGTCCAGGAAGTATCGGATGACCAATCACCATCTCTTTGTCAACTTCCAGAGTGCCTATGAGATCATCAAAAGGCCTTAGTTAAATGTAGCTTTAAGAGAACTTGGATTCTATTCAAAATTGGTTTGGCTAATCAAGATGACCTTAGATGATGGTCTTGCGTGCCTGTTGGGCAACCTAGGCTTCTTCAACCAGCTCATTCAAATACTCGGCTTTGCCGATGACCTGGATATTGTCACAAAGTACTTTGAGTCCTTGAAAGAAGTTTTCCTCTAGTTGGCACAGGCTGAGGAAGATATGGAGATGTGTGTACCCCAGGAGAAGAAAAAATATCTGAGAGATGGGCCGGGAGCAGAGACAGCGGATCAACACAAAGTAAACCAGTTGGTTGACTATGAAGGTTTCCTGAAATGATTTATATGAAGAATAAGGATTTTGGAGCCTGGGAAAAGGAATGAGGTATTGTAGAAGTCTCATAATACTAATAAATTTACCTTAAAATTTAATTATGATATGGTTTTTATTTGTAAACTTTATATAAACTTCTTTAACCATACCCCAATATATATATATTTGTATTTATTATATTTTTTTAAGGTAGTTCCTGCATATTAAATGATCTTTGTATTTAAATTGTATTGGAGTTTGAGAAGTGTTTTTTGGGAGTAGAATAATAGAGTAGAATAATCAAATCATCGCTTGAATCACCATCTCTTTCAAGTTCAGGCACAGCAGACAATGAGGAAAATATCTAGGTTTATGCCTGCCTTTAAAATAGTATATAGAATTCCATAGGTGTAAATTTATGGTGATACCAGACAGGTATTTCATATTACTTACATGTTTTGGTGAGGCAGAGTTGATCAGATGTATCAGACAAAAAAACAAGTTTTCACAGAAGTGGTAAGCTCGAAATGTGGGAATAGGTACCCACTATAAATCGTATGAATTTGCCGTTATTCATATAAAATATATAAATATCTACCTGTAAATCACAGACAAGTCCTGTTTCTGTAATATTCCTGTTGGATACGACTTAAAAGAGGACACTTAACTTCCCAGCTAATGACCGAAGTCTGTAAAATTACCAAGTTAGCTTACTCAGAGGAAAAATGGTGGGGAGGAATCCAGCTCTGACGTTAACACTAGACCACTATTACTCTTCCTGCCCTTGTTTCTGGACGTTTTAAAATTATTATTTAGCTTTCTATATGAAATAAATACTTTATCATACTATAATTTATTAATATTTATAAATTGAGAGTAAGGTTCATTTGCTACTTTGTTTATTCTCAAGCAATTATAATATTTAACAAGTTTTTGTTAATAAGTAAGATGTTTTTTTTTTATAAATGCAAAATACCATAATATATATATATATATATATATATATATATATATATATATATATATATATATATAAACTATTTCAAATTAATGTAAAACATAATATAAATTATAGAACTATTTTTTTTTTTTAAATTAGAGATGGTTATATATGTAGTTGACTGTTGAAATTGTAAGGATGAAAAATGGTCAGATTGTGGAGTAAAAAAATTAAGTTTATTGAGTTTGCCAAAAATAAAAAAATAAAATTATTTGAAATCACATCCCGACCATTTTTCATCTTTATTAAAAAAACAAAGAAGGTTTTTAATTCAATATTCAAGAAGCATCTTCTTTCTAATTTTTTTAAATACAGCATTCTTATGTCATGATTAATCTTACTTTTTTATTATAGTTTTTTATTTGTTTTAATTGGTGTAATGTTCTCGGAGTTATCTAGAATTTTTTTATTTATGATATTTACAACTGTATTAAGAAAGAATACATTAAGTAAATGTGATAACAGAAAATAAAAACATGAAAACATTTGTTGAGAAACTACCAACTTTTAGCACTAAAAAAAAAAATGTATTTACAATAGATCTCGAGGCCATCTTTTTTTCAGACGCCTCGGAGGGTTATCAGGGATTGAATAGGAAGCAAGGTTAGAAACGAGAGGGTTCGGATGGTTCTTAAGTTTATTATGGAAGGCTAGGTATCTGGATTGGGCCAATTCGGAACATTAAGGTCTTTATGGATGATTTTATTAGTGACAAAGTAAGGAGCATTGAGGATTTTACGAAGGATTTTGGATTGTAAGGATTAGATGCGTGAGGAATTCGATGGCTTTGTGGACCCCAAATCTCAACTCCATATGTCCAGATAGGTCTTATTGTAGTCATGTATATGAGTCTTTTGTAAATAACTGGAAGCTTAGAGCGTTTGTCTAGTAAGTGCAGGAGTAGTCGAAAACGTCGAGCGGTTTTTTGTCGTTTAAGTCTGGTATGAGGATTGCAAGTTAGCCGTTTGTCCAAGTGGAGGCCAAGGTACCGGATTTGTCCAACAGGGATAAGCGAGATATTATTAAAGTATACTGTAGGACAGGAAGTTATAGGTTTACGACGAAGGGTAAAGGTGATTTGACGGGATTCAATGGAATTTATTTTAATCCTCCAATTTTGACACCATTCTTCGAGGTTTGTGATGTGTGATTCTGGAGTTTGGGATGCAATTATTGGATCATTATTAACTGATAAGACACATGTGTCATCGGCATACGTGGTGATGACAGTGTTGGGATGTCAGCTGTATAAACTGTGTAAAGGATAGGACCTAGGATACTACCTTGAGGAACACCAGCGGATTGGGAAAAGAGGGATGAATAAACATTAATGTGATTTACTTTGAAGTACCTATCAGTTAAGTAGGAACGAATAATGAGGAAG